ATAACAATCAACCTCCTTCGTGTTCCGCCATTGTTGCACGTTTTATGTGAAAATAATTATTGTGTATTAAGAATGCAACTGTTACTTACTTTTTTTTTACTTTTCTTTCATCTTGTCTAGGAAATTTAGCAGTGTTGCTAGTTTATAGGTATATTTGTTCCAATTATGGGTAATATTACAGTGATATGATCTACCTCCCACTAAAAATACAGCAAAAAAAAATAATGATTAAAAATTTAAGAATTTGGTGGTAGGTACCCGTGTAAAGCAGTCGGCAGTTCGTAAACGTAGGTACTAAGGGTGACAAAAATGCATGGAGAGCTTAAGGTCGACTATTGACTGACAGGTTTTGCATAACGCTACCATTGATAACTAGATGGCGCTGCTTTTAAATGAAAATAACCCTGCAAAGATTGAATACTTTACACTGTAGAGACACACAATAAGGTTTTTAATGGTTAAAATAATAATTAAGAAACAATAATATATTTATATTTAAATACACATAAATTCTGTTAATTTTCTCATTTCCGAGGATTTAATATAGCGCCATCTAAGTCAAGTTATGCAAACCAATTAAAAGATGGCGTCAATAATTAATAATAGACAATAATAAAAGTTATAAACTAACCCGCATTTTCTATATCATAAAAAATGCGATCGGTAGCTCGGATGAATAAGAATGATAGAATAATGAAGTTGAAGGGCACCGGTTCAAATCCGGCTTATCAATTATATATTCAGGTTTTTTAACAATGGTTTTTTTATATTTTTTTATATAAAATCAATAATAATAATATATAAATAAAATATTTGACGATAACAAAATATTATTAATTGATATTTATAAAAGATAACAAAAATAAATATACATATATATATTATTTTAGAATAAAATTATATTAATAAATATATATAAATAACTTATAATATGTGCTAACTATTAATGTAAAAGTAACATATTTTTCTTACAGATTAAGACTAATACTTACTAAGTTTAATTCTCATAAAGGATAACAAATAAAACTATTTTAGTGACATTATAATTTCAGACATTTATTTCTTAAAACATAATATTTATTTCTTTCTTATACATATAGTGTAAACCCTGACCTAATAACTTTTCAGCTAACTGACACATTACTTAATACACTTTTTTTAAGATTAATAAGTATTTTAAATCATTTAATAGTTAGTTTAAACACAATGTTATAATACGATTCTATATAATATGCAACCTTACTTCTGCAACTATTTTACCTCCCCATAAAATGTAAAATTTAGATTTTATTAAAGTATTGACTAAAGTGATTCATTTTGTGCATCATGTTATGACAAAGGCTCATAGCTTAAGTATTCGTTCCAGAACAAGGAAGAAATTGAAGCTAGACCTTAAATCAATAACATTTCTAAGACCGGGATATAGCATTCACTAGATATGGGACGAATTGTTTATAGTAATAATAAATAAATAATTTATTATCTTGCAATCAATAGCATCTGTAGATATTAATATTGCTTTTATTTTTATTTCTCATATTTAGTAAAACATTAAAATCATTACTGTAAATAACAGTTGCTGGTTATAAAATAGTCAATAAATTTATCCTATTAACACTAAGTTTGAACATTTATCCATTAAATAAATTATAGCTACCCCGGTCTTGTAATTGCTTAATCCTATAGTAAACAATATCTTTTCTTCTAAGAACTAGTGTAGCCGCCATTTTTATCGATCCGGTGATCTCGCTGACCAAGGAATAATCCGTATGTCTGATTGCTGACTAAACACTTGCACAATTATGGAACATTACACATAGGACAATTGTCCTGCACGAACGTTATCACTAGCACATCTTCATGACGTCTTTCAGCACATCTATGTAGTTTTCACTGTTTGCATCACTAAAGATGACAATGCTCCAGTAATTTTCCTCATAACCTTGCCCCATAAGTTGAAGCTGGTCTGAGTCAATATCACGTCTTCTGCCAGATCCACTACGGTGCTCCAATGAACCCTCTTCTTGAAACAGCTTTAGATATCCATAAAGTTGCAGTCTTTAACTGTAAGGGACGTGTATTATTTATTATTTTCATATATCGATAACCATGGATAATAAAATAAATAACGAACGGTCAATTTAAAAGAATACTTACGTTTAAGCCAGTTTCTCTCGAAATTTCAGTATAATTTAAGCTTTGATTATGCAATGCTATTATTTGGGCCTTCGTAGCCATATCAATATTTGAACGCAAACTCATAATAAAAATAAATATTAAAAACTTGTTATACAAATCGTAACTGAACTCGCTCAAATATAGTAAAGAATGTTATGATTGAACAAAATGGTTTAATTTTTATACAGTTAATATTAAATTACCCTCAACTGTTTTGAGATTTATGATCGGGTTATAGTTGCTAAACAACTTCAATATAATAAACAGTAGGATAATTTCAATACATTTCAAGGTTACGCAATGGCCTAATGGATAGTGGCATCGATAAATTTTATGCTACCGACTACCGAGTTCGAATCCTGGTTATTGCGTGCTTTGCTTTAAAAAGGTTTGGAATATCGTAGCATTAATTTGTGTAAAAATTTATTAAGTAAATAACTTTGTATCTGATATAAACTATAAATGTATATTTTTCAATACCACTAGTATACTAGCGCCATCTATGTCATCCATGGTATATTATAAAGGCGATGAAACGCCGTACAAACGATTTTGATTTGGAATCCTCCATGCACTTATGACACTGATAGTACATTAAATTTGAAATATTTTTTGATAAATAGCTAGTGGGATAATGCAAAGCTCTCTTTACTTATTTCATCCCTTTATTACATATTTCTGCGTTTGATTATAGGCAGAGGAATGCGCATATAAACCTCAGAGCTCCGAGAATTCCCCATAATTGTCATTGAACAAATAAAACCTTAACGGGTTTTCCAATATTAAACTCACCACCTGGCAACCCGGGATAGTTGGCTCGGCGCGGCTCGCCTGTCGGATGGCGCGCGCCACTAATTACGATCATACCGAGCTCCATAATGCATCTGTGGTAATGTGGCAATACTTAACCACCGTATCGTAAAACACGCGAACGCCTTTTTTCATTGGTGCATCGGACCGAGTGACGGGCAGAAAAACGCGAAATGAGGTTATGTTATCCGAGAACGGTATCGCGAAAAAAGCTTAGGTCAGCGGCCGTTTAGGCGAGGGACAAGATAGTAAATAGGAAATTTTACCTTATCGATCAATATTTAATACTTAACCGCGATGAAATTGGACTACCTACACTCCAGCTTTAGAGACGAAATCTGTCAATTGACTGACTGTCGTTTGTTTCTTTTCTTTTTTTTAAACCGTAGCCCCTCACTAGTAGCTTCGGTAGGTTCCTGTTTCGGATTCAGCGGGAGGAAACGCCCGAGTGTCGTCATTGTGAGGACCACCTAGAGGATACGGTGGAGCATACGGTAGCGGTATGCCCTGCCTGGGCTGAGCACCGCCGTATCCTCAGGGAAGTGATCGGCGGCGGCGACCTCTCGCGCCCGGCCTTAGTCGAGGCCATGGTGCGGAGTGAGAGGAACTGGGACGCCGTCTCCTCCTTTTGTGAAGCAGTCATGCTCGCAAAGAGAGAGGCGGCCCGCGTGAGGGAGCAATCCTCCTCCTCACGCCCCAGCAGCCGCAACTGGCGACACTACGGGCGTCGGGGATCGAGGGACGATCTCCGGCCACCGTAAGTACGGGCCTGCGGTCGGCGAGTAAGGGTAGCTCGCCGCCCGACCAGAACCAGGCCCGAGCGCACGGCGCGTAGCGTTCCGCGCGCGCCTCAAAGAGCCATTCGACCACCACAGACGGGGCCCTAAAGGGCTGATGTTCAGCCGGGGTTGCGGGGTAAGCGCAATGAGGTACCGCGACCTCGGCACAGAGCAGGAGAAGGAACAGGGGGGTTTTTAGTCAGTAAGAGTCTGACACTCCCTCCTGCCCGGCCCTGGGCGGGAGAAGTCATTTGATGATTTTCCCCTCACAAAAAAAAAAGCCCCTCACTAGTATTTTCTTCTGTGTCATCGGTGCGGTTACAAACATACAATTTCACGTGCACATGACACCCAGACCCGGAACAACAATTTGTGGATCACACAAAGAGTCGTTCCGTGCGGGAATTGAACCCGCGACACGTTGCACGGCAGCCAGTAGTTGCCCGGCCACCGCACCAACCGTGAAGTCAAGTCATAGGTTGGTTTGTGAAGGGCAGCAATGAAAAGGGTTATTATTAATTTTGTTTTTAAACGATTTTAATAGCTTTGATAATTTGATCGAAATCTGTAGATTTCATCATTTTGTTCAACAGCCTATTATTAGGAAGATTAATTTTCTTTATCAAAGTCTAATAATCTTATAATACCTACCTAATACTAATTTCTAAACATTTCAAAATCAATAGTTCCCTACTCAATACGCAAATACCGCCTTAAAATCAAGAAAATGTGTATCTAGGACAGGAATTACCGTAAGTTCCTACTCAATAATAATATGAGCCGCTAATCGCTACTAATAGGTAGGTAGGTACTTATTCCTTTAGATTAACAAAAATCAATACCTATCCCGGAACTTTAATTAAATTAACGCTAAAATATTATCCATTTCCTGATTTTTAAGCTCGAATTTACTTATCGGAATCCCAAACGGATTTTTGATTTATATGGTAGTATCAATCGCTATTTCAGCTGTCCCCACTCATTAACAGAAACTTGATTGTATTTTGTACATCTTAACACCATCTAGCGGTTAGCTTTGAAACTAAAATGTATGCCGCTCCATATCTCTTTGTTAATGTGGTTAAGCAATGATTACAGGAATATTATAAATTAAGAAATTTATTTACAGAAAATCTTTATATTATAAGGCTTATTCGACCACCAAATAAATTAGTAAGCACTTAGTACCTATATTTTTGAACGAAAGCATTTTACAGAGTTTTGACATTGACAGTTTACGAATAATGAGTATTTTGATAGTTGATGTAAACGTAAAGAAATGAGAAAATAAAATATTATTTTATGCCTGAGTTTCAACTTAACATAACGGGTTGAGGTTAAAATAGAAATAGGAAACATTTAATCAATAAACTAAAATGTCTAAGCTAATTTCAGTGCTAGTGTTATACCTATGGTGAGTTATTTTTTTTGTTAATTCAATTAACATATATATAAAGGCAAGATAATATTCGACCTATATGAGACCTTGACTTTTTCAGCTTTGATCTCGCTCATCAGTATCGGGGCAATACCAGGACTAATGCTGAAAAAGAGTGGGATTTTTTAATATTTACTCAACAATGGCCCAGCTCAATGTGTAAAGTCTGGACACACAATAAGCCAAATCACCACTGTGTTTTCCCAAAAAAAACTGATTCGTGGACCGTCCATGGTATTTGGCCTACTAAAGCTGGAACTAAAGGGCCGTTTAATTGCAATACAACCTGGCTTTTTGATCCTGAGCAGGTGAGGCCAATTGAAAATGAATTAGAGCAGGCCTGGACCAATATTGAAAAAGGTAATTTCTTTTAAATCTTAATATTTCCATAGTCATATTTAACTAAAGAAGAAAGTTGGCAATTAATAACATACATATGACTCTTTGTGTCCAATTCACAAAAAGTTGCTTATTGTCTGGGTGTAATAAGCTTATGAATTTGTCTGCTTGATAAATCATTAAAACTAAGCAAAAAATTACAATGTGGAGCAACAATAAAAAATGCCCTAAACCTAGAAAGAAAGCTGACTTGCTAGATTTCATATAAAATTATTAATTTTACATGTTTTATTACCCAATAAAAATAGAACAAGTAATTTGTAGCAGTTGCTTGTTTAGTTCATAACATTATTTTGTTATCAAGGCATTGCAATTTGTAATTTACAATAAATTCTATGGATACCTAAGATTGCAAAAAGTATTTTACTACTTTAAGTTATAATTCACATAATTCCTTTCTTATCTATGTTTTGAATACTTATTTTCAAAGGCATGACTCACATTGTTTTCCTTTTAAAGTTTTTTTTGTGAATTATTTAATTATATTTTGTACTTAAATGTATTTATAATTTTAATTTAGTATTAATTTGAAATCAGTAACATTATCCAAATATGATGATGATAGGATGATACTCCAAGAAATGATTGAAGGTACTTCTTAATTTATGTTTATAATTAAGAAGTGCCTTCATCCTCTCTTCTAATAAAATGTTGTCTTGTAAAAATCCACTTTTTGCCTGACAGGGTCCGTAATTGATTCTTTGTCTAACATATGAACTGTTTTTATGTACTTACATAGTATAGTAATTCTTACTTCATATAAACAATTTACTCTAAACTGGTGCTCACACACTCACTGAGAGTAAAATGAAATAAAAATTTAAGACAAACTAAAACAAATATTTATGGTCTTTTTGAGAATCGAAGTTTTTTAAATACCCACAGTATTTAAAGATAGATAAGATATATTTATTTAGTAAAACATGAGTAATTACAATAAAGGTGTTTTTGGTATATACAGAGTCTACATGTTTTGCCATTTATGGCGTACTAAATTAGTCACTTTAGGCAGACATTACCAAAATCTACATACAATAAAATGATTAAGATTTGGATAGAAAAAAAAAAAAAAAATATCAATGTCAAAGTCAAAAATAAAAATAAAAAAATAAAAAATTAAATGTACCCAAATAATTAACAAATAAAATCATAAGTCAAAGAATGAATTACATGTCAAACAGTCTAAATGTCAACTGGTTACAAATTCTAAATATCATCTTTTAGGAAATCGTCTACCCTATAATAAACTCTTCTACATAAAAGTTCCTTAATTTTCTTTTTAAATTGGTTAATATTTAATTGTTTATATGCATCTGGTACTTTGTTATAAATTTTAGGAGCCATACAGAATACACTTCTCCACATGAGGGTAGTTTTGGCGTTGTGTAAACAAAGTCTATCATATTTACGTCTATTACGTTGAGATACACTTGACTGAAGAGGGAACAATTGCGGATTCTTCTTGACAAAAAGACAAATTTCTAAAATATATAAAGAAGGTAATGTTAAAATATTATATTTTAAAAACAGCGGTTTGCAACTATCTGTGACTTGTAGACCAAACATAGCACGGATACATCGCTTTTGTATCTTAAAAGCAAGCTCTTTATCTACCGAGTTCCCCCAGAACATAATTCCATATCGTAGTATAGATGCAACCAAACCGTGGTAGGCAATTATTAGGGTATCTGTATTAACTGTTGGTGCGAGTTTATACAGTGCGTATGATGATTGGCTTACTTTTTTGCAAACGTTCTCAATGTGTGCTTTCCAATTGAGTTTTTTGTCTATTGTTAGGCCGAGAAATTTAGTATTGTCCACTTCTTGTATTATCTGTTTGTTATAACTTATTATCATATGTGTAGATTCTTTCCGTTGACTAAAATGTATTATATTAGTTTTAGTTAAATTTATTTTTAAATTATTATTTATAAGCCAGAATATTACAGACGAGATGGATGAATTTATATCGTTTTGATACGAGTTCAGATTATTTTTTGCAATTACTATTGAGCTATCGTCTGCAAAAAGGGACATTGGTTGTGAAACTGAGTTAGGTAAATCATTAATATATAATATAAATAATAGTGGTCCCAAAACGCTCCCTTGGGGAACTCCAAATGCAACACTACATTCGCTGGACATAAACACTCTTTGATTTTTTGTATTAGTATCTAATTTAGTGATTGTAGTAACTTGTTTTCTATTAGATAGGTAAGAATTTATGAGTGCTAAGATGTTTCCTCTTAGACCGTAGCGTTCCAATTTGCCCATTAATATCTTATGATCAACGTAATCAAAAGCCTGGGTCATATCACAAAAAACTGAGCACACAGGCGTACATTTATCAACATTTAACATTACATTTCTCAAAAAGTCATAGATAGCTAGATTTATGCTCATATTTTGTCTAAAACCTTTTTGTTCGTTGCACAGTATTTTATTTTTTTCTAAATATTGATATATTTGGTTAGATATGTATTTTTCAAATATTTTTGATATGATAGATATTAATGCTATGGGTCTATAATTTTTCATTAATTCTTTGGCATCTTTTTTATGAAGTGGTTTTATTATAGAAATTTTTAACGTGTCGGGGAAAGTACCATTGCTTATACATAAGTTTAAAATATAACTTAGATGTTGGCATATTAGACTAGCTACCGATTTAATGATTTTGGTGTCAATTTCATCTACCCCAACACTACTTGTATTTTTTAGACATTTTATAATATTAAGAATATCTATGGGCAAACTTGGAGCCATAAACATCGACTTTGTTCTGTGCGTGATATTTATAGAATTTTTATTAATTATTTTTGGTATAGGTACAACTTTTCCAACGAAATATTTGTTAAATTCATTAGCTATTATTAAAGGGTTAGTTATTATTTCATTGTCAATTTTAAGCTGTTCAATGGTATCTTTTGGTGTATTAAATTTTGATTTATTTATTATTTGCCATGTACTTTTACATTTATTAGTTGAAGTTTTAATTTTAAAGCAGTTTTGAGCTCGTTTCGTTAAGGCTATTATCCTTTTATATAGTTTAGCATATTCAATGTATTTGTAACGGTTTACAAGAGTACGATTACGTCTATACATCCATAAAAGTAACCTCTTTTTTCTACTACACGATTTGATACCCTTTGATATCCATTTCGGTTTTTTTTCACATCTAACAGTAACGTATATAAGCGGAAAACATAGGTTATAGAAGAGTTTAAATTGTTGTATAAATAAATTGTAAGCCATGTTAGCATCACAGGTTTCATATATATCAGAGAATGATAGACTTTTTAAGCAACTCTTAAATTTGTTTATGTTATCTTTTGAATATTCTCGCTGCTTTTTACGCCAATATTTTATAGTGCATTTATTTTTTACTGGGAAATGTATTAATTGAGCGGTATGATCCGATAAAGCAAATTCTATTATTTCAGTTTTACACTTTTTATGAAAATTATGTGCTATGTTATCTATACAGGTTTGACAACGAAGACGTGTTGCTTGTTCTAAAGCTAATTTTAAATTAAAACGCAACAATAAACACTTAAAATCTAGAGTTATATTATTCTTTTTTATTATGTCAATGTTAAAGTCACCTGCTATTATGATATTATTAAATCGATTGTTAGTGCAAACTTTTTTCAGCAATTGTTCCATCCTATAGAAAAATGTGTTTAAACAATCAGGTTTAGGTGGCCTATAGATGCATATAACAACCAATTTATATTTAAGCAATTCTATTGCACAACATTCAAAAATCCCTATCTGTGACAACTGTGAAATCTCTGGTAGTTCTTTACACAAATGATCACTCCTTAGTAAAATACATGCTCCACCTCTTTTAATATTAGGTCTACTATAACAAGCTGCTAGATAATAATTAGATATGTTAAGTTGAGATTCATAGCCAGACATTATAAAATGTTCCGTTATGCATACTACGTCAACAGATTTGTTACTTTCTGATAATTCAGTAAGAGAGACAGAAAGGGCGTCAGATTTAGACAATAGGCCAGCAATGTTTTGATGGAGTACTAATAGCTGTTTATTAACGAAAAAATTTGTCATGTATATTATTATTAACATAAAATTCGTCGTCTACTTTTGGGTTAATACGATTGTAACATTCATATTTATCTGCACTACACTGTAGTGATTCTTTTATACAGTTTTTCAAATCATTAAAGATAGTTTTCATTCCAAAGTTGTTTACAGTACCTTTAAATTTAGAAAACATTGTGAAATCATATTTAAGGTTTAAATTTGAATCTAAAAAAGTTGCATAATTGTAAGTAAGTGAATCGAGATATAACAAATTACAAAAACTTTCTATTCTCCAGTTAAACATTCCATTGAAATCTGTTATTTTGTAGGTAGGTACACAAATTATTACATTAGTATGTTGAATTGGTAATAGCGCTTCACGTAAATGTAGAATTAACTTAATATAGTTATTTGTTTTTCGGAAGTCTTCTGGGCCAATCATGATAATGCAACAATCTTCTAATGTATAGTTTGTTAATTTTATATGCAAATTATTGATAAGTTGTTGTAACCCACAACCAGTGGACAGATAATGACAAACTTTGTAGTTGGGGAATGTGTCTTCTGTCAAGATACACATTTTAGGTTTATTCGTAGGTTGAGGTTTTGTTTTCAGAGCCATTGTTTGTGTAACTGTTGTTTCATGTTGAATATTGTTTTCTGGACTTGCTGTAGTATCAATAATACTAATATTGTTTCTCTGCTGGATGGAGGAGTTTTGGCGAGTCTCTTTAATAGGTGTTTTGTGGTTATTTGACTTCTCAGATTTAGTTTTAGGTGTGCTGTTTTGAATCTTAAGCTTTTTTGTAGCTTTTGTTATTAAATCTTGTTTTTTAGTCAAATCCTCAATTCTTAAAAAACTTCGATTCTCACACGATCCAAAAATTTTTGTAGTCTGGGTGTCATGTATATGTGAATTTGTATGTTTGTAAACGCGCCCATGACAAAGGAGAAAATATAATTGTGGGGCAACATTCTTAAAAACGAAAAAAAAAATTGTTGCACTACACAAAGATTCAAAAGTAAAATTGGTTGCATTCAGAAGATATCAAATAAAATAAAATTTGATGCAATCTAAATTATAAATATTTATAATTGCCATTGAATCAATAAGAAGTTTATTATTAAATTAACATTTCATTGTAATAACATTTTCCGCTTTATTTTTTATAATAATATGGTGGAAGAAACTAGATTTAAAATACCCATATAATATATGAGGAGGAAAATACAACATTTATTTGAAGCAGTAATTCATGCAGTATGCTGTAAACTTTCCAGAAACATCACTCTACAACCTATGGGCCCACGAGTGGAACAAGCATGGTACTTGTGCAGCAATGATAGAACCGTTGAACAGTCAGCTGAAATACTTCAGCAAAGGCATTGATTTCCTTAACCAATACCATATGAATGATATCCTCAGTAGTGCCAACATCGTACCATCAGATACCAATCCGGTTAAAGCTGAAGAAGTAAGTTCTACCGTTGTCTCCAAACTTGGAGTAAGACCATTCATTGCATGTGAATTTGAAGATGGTGTCCAGTATTTAATAGAGCTCAGAGTTTGCTTTGACAAACAACTGAATCTTAAAGAATGTGAGGGAGAGCATGAAGTCAATGGTGTGTTAACCAACTGTAATATTGCGAAAAATATAATTTATCCCTCTCCGTTACCACCTGCCAATATGCAGACAGTTCAATTGTACAAGTTTGTGAACTGGTTGCAATGGTTCACTCTATAACAAGTCTTTTCATAGTAGTATACCAAACCCTAAAAATTCTATTGGAAAACAAACCACAGACTCATGTGTTTATTTGTTTTCAGCTCGTAATATTGTTCTGTTCATAATATTTTTTTATTAACTTGTTTTTTATTTTTGTTTGACAACACATTCACATTCTTTATAAATTTAACTATAAATCTCAAATATGATATTAAATAATTATTGCTTTAATCTTATGTTATGTATATAATGGTTATTTGCAATTCTACTTAATGTGGCAACGTTTTTTAACAGTTTTTCATTTCGTAAATATTGCCAGAAATAATAAAATTTTACTAAATAGCAATGTATGATCACAGTGTAAGTACAGTGCACACTTTTTACTGTCAAGTTCTTAACCTTCATGATCACTGTTATTGTGCCAAATTGTACATGTTTAAATGCGAAAAATAAAAAAAGAAAGTACTTTTGACGCTTACACTGCTACGAAAACCTTATGCAACCAGACTTAGAAGGCTTATCTCTGAAATGGTACAAAAATATGTTTTTTTTTTCTTACTTTTATATACGTAAGACATTGGTTCCATTTTTTTTTTCTAACCACCGCTATACGTATTTGCGACAAGTGCCGCCAAATTAGCTGCTGGACGCTTCTTCCCTTCCCTCGATTAGCTTGCTTCGAACACTACGCTAATTCCCGCCCATATGGCGACGGATGATGTCGTACCGATGACGTCCGCTCCTGGCCAAAAACAGGACAGTTAGTTACCTACGCGAAACCCTTATAAACTGGCAGGTTGAATGAGACTTCCCCTAGATAGAGAAATGATCTCCGGCTACCGTAAGCGTGGGTCTGCGGGCGGCGAGTAAGGGTAGCTCGTCGCCACCTCAAACGGTGCCCTATAGGGCTGATGTTGATGAAAGCGCAATGAGGCACCGCGGCCTCGGCCCAGAGCAGGAGAAGGAACGGGGTGTTTTCAGACAGTAAGTGTCTGACACTCCCTCCCGCCCGACCTTAGGGCGGGTGTAGCCATTTGATGATTCTCCCCTCACAAAAAAGGGTTCCCATAGTTGGGGAAGCAACCGCGAAAGCGCTCCAGCTGCTTTGTCTAGTTTGGGAAATAATAAAAACTGTCGGAAATGGGGCGCAAAAATCCATCGATTGTAAGGACCAGTCAGAAATATAATATCAGGATTGACTTAATAGCGAGTACTTTGAAAATAAAGGACCTCGGAATCGAAGGCAGCCACCACCTTTAGGGCAACACTAGTCTTGTCCGGTAGCGCAGAATGAACTAAGTATTTTCAGTTGTATTAATGAAGTAGGTACTTACTTTTTTTTTCATATCATAACCAAACTTCAAGATCTGACCTATTTTGAAAAATAGTGTTGAGTAAAGTCTTTCATACCTACGTTTCAAATTTGGAACCTTTGTTTTTAGAATGATAAATAAGTTAGCTTTTATTTTTTCAATTGTTATGTATAGGTTAATTATGAGATTATAATTTTGTGTACTTAAATACAGTGCAATTAGTAAATAAATGTCACTATTTTGGTGTAAAGTAGACACGCGACTTTTGAACGAATTTAAATTTTATGCATTCAAATTGGTACCTAAGTAATACTATCTACAGACGTCAGTGACGCTGCAGTCGTTTATGGCAAGTCGCTGTAGAAAAGAACATGTCTATTCCAAAATAAGTGTTTAGTGTAATTTATTTTGTTTAATTTCATATTGCGTTTGTTTTTGTTTTAGTTTACCTACATAAGATAGCCAATTTGGTTGATATTTTTATAATTATAATGTTAATTTGGGAAAGGATGTATATATATATATATACATATTTTATTAAATATCAATTTACTGGGCCTTAATTCATAAAGATACCTTATTGTCACACACTACCAAACCCAGTGCCTTTACAATGTATTCAGTGCCTTAATATTTATTGCTGATTTTCTCTGATGGAATACCTACATCAAAACTTTCAAGATATTAACTTTATAGTGAGAACTACAGTCGACTTCAGTTAAGTAATGAAAAATATGATTGGGGAGGAAAAAACTTAGTATCAGCGTTGGACCCGTCTGAGGCCAGGGCTAGTTGCAAGTTAAACTATAATATGGATATTAATTGAATAATAAAAACAGTTATCATCCCTAATATACATTCTGAAACAGGCTTAAATTAAAAGTAAGATGCAGGTATATAAGTAGTTTCTATTGCACTTGGACTATTGCTACTTCTAATTTTGCTAGAAATTAATTAAAATCTAATCCTTTTTACTGTCTATGCAATATATATATATATATATAAACAAAGTGATTGTTACAAAGATTTAGCTTAAATAATAATAATATTTAATTAAACTGTTTAAATAGATACTTATATTACCTATGTAGTGTACTAGATGTATAAGTATGTACCTATGTATTAAAATGGCATAATATTTTTCTATGAATTTTACAAATAAATAAATGTATATTCTTCAGTTTTTAAATGTACCTACGTATTTAGGGATAGTAATATTTATGTTTTATAAAGGTAATAGAAAATAATGAGAAGCTTTCCATTTAGTTCTTGTAAGATGGCGCCACTGGTAAAGCTCGCAAATATTTTCCCTAATAACGTTGCTCTCTGGAGTTATATTAGCAAAGGAAATAATGTAATTTAACTTAATAGTATTTTCGTATTGAAGAAAACTTATTCTTGTCATATGTATTTAAATATTAAAAGGTTTTATTTCTATAAAATATTGCTTTCATTTTCGCTCTTGTGAATTGAGAGCTTAACAACCAACCTACTCCGTTCTACTGATCAGTCAGACTAAGTAATGTTTTTTTATGTAAAAAGGACAGTAATAGAATGGTCAGTGATGGTAAGCAATTGTTGCACACCCGTAACTCTAGACGAGTTAAGAGTGCGTTGTCTGCCTTTTGGGGATTAGGGTTTCGGAGATTTGGGGACTGGGAGAGGAAGAAAGATTGGACCTCCGGTAACCTCACTCACACGGCACAACTGTTTTTTTTTTTTTTGTGAGGGGCAAATCATCAAATGACTTCTCCCGCCCAGGGCCGGGCAGGAGGGAGTGTCAGACTCTTACTGACTAAAAACCCCCTGTTCCTTCTCCTGCTCTGTGCCGAGGTCGCGGCCCCATCTGTGGTGGTCGAATGGCTCTTTGAGGCGCGCGCGGAACGCTTCGCGCCGTACGCTCGGGCCTGGTTCTGGTCGGGCGGCGAGCTGCCCTTACTCGCCGACCGCAGGCCCGTGCTTACGGTGGCCGGAGATCGTCTCGATCCCCGACGCCCGTAGTGTCGCCAGTTGCGGCTGCTGGGGCGTGAGGAGGAGGATTGCTCCCTCACGCGGGCCGCCTCTCTCTTTGCGAGCATGACTGCTTCACAAAAGGAGGAGACGGCGTCCCAGTTCCTCTCACTCCGCACCATGGCCTCGACTAAGGCCGGGCGCGAGAGGTCGCCGCCGCCGATCACTTCCCTGAGGATACGGCGGTGCTCAGCCCAGGCAGGGCATACCGCTACCGTATGCTCCACCGTATCCTCTAGGTGGTCCTCACAATGACGACACTCGGGCGTTTCCTCCCGCTGGATCCGAAACAGGAACCTACCGAAGCTGCCGTGCCCGGTAAGCACCTGCGTCAGGCGGAAGGTGAGGACGCCGTGGCGTCTCTCAAGCCACTCCTCAAAGAGGGGTCTTACCGCTGCTATAGTAGCGTGCCCGGCCCTCGGTTGCGACAGTCGCTGCTTCCACTCAGCCATGAGCGCGTCTGCGCGCAAACTGTAGACGCGCGCGAGCGCCTTTGCTTCCAGATCCCATGGCGGTGATCCGGCAAGGAGGTTCGAAGCCTCACCGGAGATCGTGCGATATCCGCGGATTATTCGGATAGCCTTGACCCTCTGGGACGTGACCAGCGTACGACTAACTAACTAACGAGCTAGAACTAACTCGTAACTTGTCGAGCCGTCCTTTCCTGATTTTCCTAATGTCAGACTCTTACTAAGAGAATTTTTAGGGTAGGTACATCTACATATAATATGTAGGTAAGTATGTAGGTACTGAGCTTACTGTGTAAAAAGCACCCGGTTCCTTTTGCTCGGGGCCAGGCGGCACATAAATCACTTGTGCTTGCACCCGCAATCCAGCTGAAATTAATAGATACACAGATTACCTTACCTACGTATCTACATAATAGGTACATTCATATATAATAGCGACCAAATTATGCTCTGAATCCCATATTATATGGGGGTGTGCGCGTCTTGTCATGACAAATCCCAGATTCCGTTTTTTGCGTAGATATTAATAATGTATGTAAATCACTTAATTTAAAAATAACGACTTCTTCGCGATTAACTGAGAATAACTCTAGTAGTAGTAGTTAAAACTCCATAATGTATTAGAGACCTTTTGTGAGTCTCTTACTGACTAAAAACCGTTCCTACTTCTGCTCTGGGCTCTTTGCGCTTACCCCGCAACCCCGGCTGAACATCAGACCTATAGGGCCCCGTCTGTGGTGGCTCTTTGAGGCGCGCGCGGATCGCTACGCGCCGTACGCTCAGGTCTGTTTCTGGTGGGGCGGTGAGCTACCCTGACTCGCTTTTCGGATCCTGTAGGAGGAAACGACCGGGTGTCGTCATTGTGAAGACCACCCGGAGGTCAGGGGTGAAGGTTTGCCTTGGTCGAGACCATGGTGCGGTGTGAGAGGAACGGGGAAGCCGTCTCCTCTTTCTGCGAAGCACTGATGCTTGCAAAGGAGGCTAAAAGACCACTACAGAAGGGGCCCAACAGTGCCGATGTACAGCTGGGGTTGTGGGGCAAGCGCATTAAGGTACCTAACTATCGCGGCCTGAAGCAGAAGAAGGAACACAAAGGGGGGATTGTAGTCAGTAAGACTCCTCGACAACAACAACCCCTCTCGGCATAACATTATACTAGAAAAGACTTATTTGATGATTTTTCCTCCCCACCCTAAAATATAAATGCACGCACTGATAACTTCTCGACCATCGAGGTAGAAATATGAATTTAGACATTCAATTCATCGATTTGTAAACTACCAATCTATTGTGTGAGTAAGTAAATTTTTTTCGTCAAAGGCATGTATGAATTGGATATTGTATCAAATATCTACCTAGAAAATTCTGATTGTGATAATAACTATTAATTTTAAAACTGGATAAGTATTTGCATTGTTGCTTTATTAATGTCTTCACAATATAAGAGAGGGTTACGTAATTATTTGATCATTGATCTGATTCATCTTCTAACGTATACTTGAGTTTCGAATTGGCAATATTTTATTTTCTTATAGTAAGTAATATTAGTTTTTTTAGGTCACCTAATCAATTTGAAGAAGTTTGAAATCGGCTGGGACCTCTGGTTATTGTGCATTGATCAGAGAAATGTTAAAAACTAATTTATTGCTTGTGGTGTTTTTAAGGTGAGTAAAATTATCACATTAGTAGCAAACGGGTGGATAGGTCAGGCCTTTGTTCTTACTCCGTGGATCAGGCACACAGTAACATCCATATTTTCAGTGACTTAACCAAGAACCCCAGATATTGCGCGGAAGGTGAGGTCCATCTTCCAAAAGCAAAACTGTTTCAGGCTGTTTATGCGTGACGTGCATGATAACCTTTACTTTTCATTTATAACGTTCGGGCTCTGATTGGCCTACTCTAAGTAGGTAAACCAACCAGTCAGAAGCCTAACAATTTCTACCGCGGTGACAAAAAAAACTAACACTGAGCCCTCAGAATAATAAAAACACTCTTTTATTTCTTAGCACGCATTACACAATAGCCACTCAAGATGCGAGTTTCAAGGACGACGATTATTTCGACATGATAATACTGTCACAAAAATGGCCGGTGACCTACTGCAAATATTGGGTGCAGCAACGCAGGTCCAACCGCTGCGTCGTCGACCCTCCATGGTATATGGCCATGGAGGAAGAAAGACGACACTTTCCCAGAATACTGCGATAAATCATGGAAGTTTGACGAGGCAGAAATTCAGGACATCAAGCCTGAACTGAAGCAGGCGTGGATAAACGTTTTTGAAGGTATTTTTGTATTGTCAAAAAGAGGTAGACTTCTAAGTAGGTACGACTATCTGAATAAATATCACTTTTCTCATAAAAATCTCAATTACAGGAACAATGCCCAACAGTTTATGGGAGCATGAATGGAACAGACATGGCACCTGTGCCAGCGTCATGGAACCTCTCAGCTCACAGTTCAGGTACTTCAAAAAAGGCGTAGAATGGAACCTCAAATACTGGATAAAGGGCATGTTAGAAGACGCCCAGATATACCCCTCGAATGCCAAAAAATATAGTCCACACGCCTTCGTTCGTGCCGTAGAAGGCAGAACGGGAAAACAGCCATTTATTGTATGCCAAAAATTAAAAAATCACATCTCTTATATAAAAGAGATACGTTTATGTTTTGATACGCACTATATCTTTATTGATTGTAATACTGTTATTGATGAATCTAGCTGTGATGAAGATATTTTATATCCTGCCTCTGTATAATATAGGTAGGTATATAGAAAGTGCTAGTTGTAGATTCAAGCATATTAATTAAATTATTTTCGTTTGTAACTTCTTCGGTATACTTTCAACTTTATAGTCTGGTAAAAGGGTTGAAAATATTTGAAACAAATTATACATTCGCCTTAACAAGTGTACCAATTGGTACGTATTTCTACTAGTACTAATAAATTTCTCTAAGTTGTATTTCAATAAATCGTATCTACATACATAAATAAACCTTTTTTTCAATAAATGATACTTTAATATTTTTGTATTTATTTTAATAAGTTTTCTTAATGCGTATTATAATATATGTATGTAATGTATAATACAGTATATGAGTTATTTTTTGTGAGGTGAAAATCATCAAGTGACTTCCCCTGCCCAGGGTCGGGCACTGACAAAAAACCCCCCTGTTCCTTCTCCTGCTCTGGGCCGAGGTCGCGGTGCGTCATTGCGCTTACCCTGCGCTTACCCCGCAACCCCGGCTGAACATCAGCCCTATGAGGCCGCGTCTGTGGTGGTCTATTGGCTCTTTGTGGCGCGCGTGGAACATAACGCGCCGTACGCTCGGGTCTGGTTCTGGTCGGGCGGCGAGCTACCCTTACTCGCCGTCCGCAGCCCCGCGATGAGTCTGAGATAATATGGTGTTGATTTTGACGTATCAATCTACTTTTGCTTCCTAGACATAAGTTTTTTCATAAATGGTAATGCCTAAACACACCTAATACTTGTAAACACAATCTACTTATGCGTGCGAATAGAAAGCTAAGGTAGAAATAAATAAATACAACACTCAATAATTTTAAAAACTATATTAAACCAATGATATTTGAATTTACAACAAAATGTTGAGTTCCCAAATATGAATCAAGTACTTTCTTGAATTAAGTCGTAATGGACGTTGGGTTCATCTTCGAAACTCCACGCTAGTTGAGGTAAGTTTAAGATCATGCGAGCGTCGACGATGAAATCTACTCCAAGCAAGGTGTCATTATCGCGCGCCTCAGGCAATACCATAAACTTAGTTAGTATACAGCGATCCTTCAGTTTGACGGGAATACGGCCAGTCAGTATATTCTGCGGCCTCGGCACTCCATCTGCCAAGGTAACTACTGTATTCTCCTCTTGGAAATGAAAGCCAATGTTCTTCAAGTAGCTATACAGCTTATAAGATGCAAGGCTCGTCTTTGCACCAGTGTCAATAAACGCCATTTCCTTTGCTGTCCCAATGCTAATTTCAATCATCAGGCGAGGTGATATTTTTAATGCATTGCTAGTACTATCTTCTTTAGAGTCTTTAACAGCTGGTGTCTTAACTGGTGCTGGACTTGGTTCCGCAGAAACAGCTTCACTTTCAGATGTAGATTTACTCACATTTGCTGCGTTTTCAGTCAAAACTCTTTGCTTTTTTCTGCAAACATCTGCACCATGGCCGAACATTCTACAAAAGTTACAGCGCATCCTTTTCTTTCCTGCTCGAACTTCAGTTCCAACATTGGCTTGCGCGGTATCTTTAGCTCTTTGCTGGTCGATCCCTCTTGCAGCTTCCAATAAACCATCAAAGGATTGAATAGTTTCCCTGGGAATTTGTTCCTGAATCTTTGGAAGCAAATTTCCATACATCATATCCAACTGTGTTTCCTCAGGTAATGGTGGGTCCGGCAACTGGTTGAAAAGCGCTCGATGCTTGGCTACAAACCTCTCCGTCAATTCATCTGGTTGCTGTTTAAGTTGACCAATCTCTGAGTAAATGATGTAAGCAGGTTTCTTAGGAGCAAATTCTTTTCGTAATTCAGATTCAAAATCTTTCCAAGTAAAAATCTTATCTTTGACCCCTTGCCACCAAGTTAATGCATCCCCCTTCAGAATGTAGGGCAAACTTCGTACAACATCAATTTCAGATAAATTTTTCATCTCTTTGTACTTTTTAGCGCTTGCTAAAAACCTTTCTACGTGTTCATAATCCTTATTCCCGTTATAAGACACCGCTTGAGCAAAGGACCGTGCCCTCTGATTTGGTAAACCAGACATGGTAGGGTCGGTATTCAGTGGTCGAAGTAAGGATTAAATCCTATGAATCAAGAACTGGAAGTTCTACGGACTTCTACGTGATCAATGTATGTTAATCCAAAAACGTTTAGTAAGAAGCCAGTTAACGCCTTGAGGCGTCTCTAGCGCACCGCGAAGAATAATACCTTTTTGCTGCACTATTTCCCACAGGCACTTACACTCTTATCACTGGATATACTTTCACTTATTTAGTCATGAGACTAATTTTCGGTACACTATTATCACTGCACTTTTCACTTCGACAAGACTTTGCTTAATAGTACAGAAGAGCCAAGGACTGTCTACTACTGTACACTTATACTTGATATAACGAATGGTGCTTCACCACGGAGGGTCATGTTTCGCAGGAAAATCTTAACACCGCGATTCAGCGATCAACTAACGACATCTAGAGAGCGATGAGTTAAACTTTGTGTGCAGGTGACATTCTTGTATTCGTGCAGCCAAAAAGAACGTACATTCGAACATTTTGTTGTTTTTGATGTATTCAACTACAAATTAGGTATGTAATTGTAACATTCTGAACATTTAATCTCGCGTACAATTTCCGGGACTTCTTGACAATATCTTTTATTTTCATAATCAACATAGGTACACATAACCGTAATACATAACGGTAAAATGTAACTTAGCTTGTACTTCAAATAAAAATCTAATTTTCTATAGCTCTACTAGTCGTAAGTCGCTATTTTCAATAAATGTAGTATATCTCACGATACTTACTATTTAAATAAAATACGCGCCGATGTCAATGGAGAACGTTTGCACAAGGCAGGCGGAAAGTTGTATATGGATATGGCAACGCTTAAACCGGACAAATTCGAATGATATTTCTGGCAGTCACTGAGCGCATCGAGAAATAGCACAAAGTGAGGTCCAAACGGATCTCTAGAAACATATTCACCCAGAGAGCAACATTAATTATTAAATAGATAATACAATTTATTAAAACACCATCTTTCTTTCTATCTAAGTATACTTTATTAGACAGCTGAAGAGTTGGTTTGTTTGTTTCAATGCGCTAATCTTCGGAACTCCTGATCCGAATTTTATTGAACAATTATTTTTGTGTTGGTCAGTCCATTTCAAGGAAGACTATAGGCTAAAAACGTTATTCTATGACCAATAGCAGCCGCGGAGCGGGTAAAACAGTCGCAAGAGGAGCTTATCATTTACAAAATGAAACAATTACATATACAACACAGACTTTATTTCCAGCAAGTCTTTGAGAATAAATCAATTAAAGTTTTGTGACCTCCCCCACCCTTTGCAGATTATAAACTGACATCAGTACTGTCGGCATATCACTTAATAATTTATTATAAATTATTTGGCTGCTCACTGCGGTCCCCGCGACACAATTATTACTGCTGACGGTACTAGACCTGTAAAAATAAAGGTATTTTTATTATTAGTACATGGATTTCGGTGTAATGTTAATATTTTGATATGGTAAGACAAGCTTACAAGTACAACCAACCTTTTTTTATAAGGCTTGTCAGATATTAAGGGATTCTCATCTATATTACGTCAAAAAGAATCACAAAATGTGTTGGTAAATAGATAACTTAACCAATACTTATGTGTTGTTTATTTTTGCTCGGAGGATTCATTATGAAAGAAAATTTTAGAGAAGTAGAGGGAAAAATTGTAACATAGCGATCCTTTCGTCGTAAGCGTGGTAGTTGGGCATATATGATAAGCAGGGGCAAGCTATAAATGTCCTACATGTCTGTATAATATGGTCGGATAACTCTTAGTTGTTAGTCATGTATACAGGTTTACAAAAAATCCACAGAACTTTTTAGGACACTTTATCTGCGGACACAGGTGAGAATCTCTCGAATTATACAAGGTCACAAAACAAATTTAAAAAATTATAGATTAGTGTAGAATTTTAATTAAATAACCAAGTAAATTATATTATATGTTATTCATTCGTTTTTTTATATAACTAAGTACCTATAGAGCTTCTTGGTAGTTCATCTCAATAAGAATTAGCATTTCAGAATGAGCACTAACCAGGGGGTTTCCGTAAGGCCGATCAATGTTAAAATCAATTTAATCTCTTGTCAAGTCATCTGATTGGTTGACTGAATTATCAACAACCAAACAGATGACTTGACAAGAGTTTTAACAGGCGATTGGTTAATTTTAGCGTTGACAAGCCTTTCAGAAACCGGGTGTAAGTCACTAGGACATACGACGGTCTACTTGAAACAAATGTTTTTGTTTGACTGTGAAAGTATGATCTTTTTAAATTAATTTGAATTTACTAATGCGATTTTATTATTTTAAAATTTTATTTTTTAGTAAGAATTTTATATCAATGTATACTCTGAAGTAAAAAGCTGGAGATTGATAACTCTTTTTTTGCCTAAAAATCGAATGATAAACACCCGGTTTCCGAAAAACCGATCAATGTTAAAATCAATTTAATCTCTTGTCAAGTCATCTAAGACAAGAGATTTAACAGAAGATTAGTTAATTTTAGCGTTGACAAGCCTTTCAGAAACCGGGTGTAGTCTATTAAAATTAAAAACTAATTATAAAATAACAAACCTAATAAATCCAAAGGCTTGTCGTAATCCTCTGACGTGAAGATTTTCTTGGGGAATGTCGTCATCATCTTGAAATTGTCCTGTTGAGCATACTCAGCGGCATTCATTTGTAGATACAATCTGAAAAGAAAAAAATCGAATATGTATGGGACCCGGTATGATTTGAAACTGATTGAACTTTTCTCGAATATTTCAAGTGAGTTATATGAATACTAGCGGTCGTCCGCGGCACCGCTCGCGTGGATGTAGAATTTACACTTTTTTATTTTTTCTCTACGTACAAACCTTCTCTGGACCTAAACGAAAAATTCAAAATGAGCCAAATCTGTAAAGGCATTGTTGTGTTATAACATTACAACGAAAAGGAGGATTTCAGTTAATAATGTCTCACGATATTTATTTAACAAAAAACAATACCAAATTTAAAAGCAAAGGCACAGAATTTCTTAATTATCTGGAACATGTCTACCCTACCATGGTCCTTTTCCTGCTACAGGCCAATGAGCTGGGCTCGCGGTACATTTTTTCTCTTGCACCCACAGACCCGGTTGATTTCTTATAATCTAAATATTATTTAATTTAACTGATTCCATTGTAGTTAATGCTATTAATACGATGTTAATTCAATAAATATGTGGATTTGCTAAAGAAATATGATAATTGGATTGCTACTACATGGATTTTAATATCTTTTTGTATCTATAAGTACTGGATTGTATGTATGCTTCTATAAGGATTAGAAGCATACAAAAAATCCAGTATATATTTTATCCATAATAATAAGAAATAAATACCTGACTGCAGCAAGCTGTTCCTTAGCACCAAATGTGTGTGCGAGTGCTTTGCCATCAGGTAGTCTGATCTGTATGCGTGCCTGCTCGTATGATACTTTAGGTGCCGGGGCACTTGGAGGCGGGACCACTGCTGCAGGAGCCACTACTACTGGAGGCTGTCCACCGGCTGCTAACCTGGAAGTTAATATGAGATCTGTATGAGCAACCCTTCTTTATCTGCAGGTGTTGAATCATCATCATCATCATCATCAGCCTGATGTTGTCCACTGCTGGACAAAGGCCTCCCCAATTGCATGCCACTGTGCTCGATGTTCAGGTGTTGAATACTAAAGGATATTTATTAAGACTGGATAGCAATGTTCTCTGTATGTCGCTGTAAACTGTAGTAAGATATCATTATCTTCAGCCTATAAGTGCCCACTTACTGCTGCTGAGGAAAGGCCTCTTCTCACACAGAGAAGTTTTGAGCAAATATCACTAACCAAAAAGATTTCAAACTTATAATCAGAAATTATATCCGGTTTTCCTAACTATGTTTTCTTTCACTATTTGTCAGTGGTGTCAGAATAATCTTAGATAGTGGGTACATATAATTCATATAAAGTCACAAAGATACTTGTCAAGCTTTGAACTGTACCCTCAAGCAAAAGAAGGGGGCTCCTCAACCTCTAGGTTTCTCATCATCTCTATCTTAAATCTCGGTTTGACATTTAAAAACTTTGTTGTTGTGTCATGGTGGCCCCGAGGTTCAGGTCATCAAGGTTAGGGTTTGAAACCTGACAAGCCTGTGTGACTTTTTCTAAAACATATGAACTTCCTAACTTAATTTAGACACCACTGATATCCAGTGAAGTAAAACATTGTAAAGAAACCTTCACTGATAATTTCTAATTAAGTGCAGGTTTGAAATCGCCTATGCCTTAACTCAACAGTGAGACACTTATGAGCTAGTGATGGTGACCTCGATCTATTTCTAATTAGACCATAGAAATAACCGGTAGAAAACATTTTACAGTACAAAAACTTACTTCCGAGCCTGTTTATCAGCTTCAATCTGAGCACGGACTCGTTCCCTGGCCTTCTGATCCTCAATCTTTTCACGTCGGCGCTGCTCCACTAACTTCTGCATCTCCTGTTCCTGGAGTCGTTGGCGGGCGTCTTGCATCTCCTTGCCAGACTTGATGCGGATACGCTCACGTTCTAAAGCTTCAGCCTGAAACATTTGATGTAAATGGTATAGTCGACTTCTGATGCATGAAGTTTTAGAACATCTTCAAAATTATAATAATGTGTGTAATATAATGAACACATAAATCAACAGGAGACAGGTATGGCAGATTATTTTTTTACCGATAACCTCACTTACACAGCAAAACACAATAATGTGGTTTGTGTGTGTTTCACGCCCGTTTTCTGTGAGGACTTAGTATCACTTCGGTAGAGCCGACCCATTCTTGCCGAAGTTTGGCTCTTCTACACTCAAAAGTATTGTAAAAACAAAAAGTAAGTAAAAATTATTTTATTAGCTAACAACACCACTGAAATCGAAAACTGCCAGTTTTCAGATTTTAATATGTTTAGATAAAGCATTTGACCACATTACAATTTGAGAAAATAAGCGGTTGTAGTTGGAAAAGTAGTGACAGTATAGTTGGTGATTGTTCGATATGACTTTAACTATTTTAAAAAAAGTTGTCCTCTCGGGTTAAGTTTAAGCATCTTAGTAACTTATTCAATATTTTTTTATTAGATTGCTTGTAAGCAGTGATGCAATTTAATTTAATAAAATCATAATTAGTGTTTAATCTGCAGAATCCTTAATTTTGGGTTGAGGATAATGTCATCATAATTTTTTGTTAAATTGAAGCACTTTGCTTTTCAATAATAACTTTTAAAAATGGTTATTGTCTTCTGTCAAGTAGCAAAAAATGACTTATGCGATTTGTTCGCTGAGAGATGAATTTCACTTGTCACACCCAGACTTAAAACAACAATCTGTGGATCACACACAGGATATATACATGTCCTTGTAAATGTTGCGAAGCAGCTGGCTACCCAACCATTATGTGTGCAGTGGAAGCCAATAATTATGTAATTACCTACTTATGTAACTATTAATAGTAATTTTAGTTGGTGTTGAGGCTAGCCAAGCAGCACTGGCAATGCAGGGTGCAATAAGTCACAATATAATTAATAATTAAAACAAATATTTGTGTTATTCAAATTATGTGTTTGGTTGAAGTGTGTAAATAAATACTTGTTTGCTTGTTACCCCACATCACCCACATTTCAGGAGGAAGTATTAGTATGAGATTGTTTTTTAAATTTATTTTAATTATCATAGTAATAAAGACAAACCTTTTCCTTTTCTTCTCTCTCTTTTCTTTTCTGTTTCATTCTCTCTTCAAGCAGCAACAATTGAGCCTTCTTTTCCTCCTCAGTCAGAGGTTTCTTCTCTTCAGTAGACTCAGAGAAGCTACTGTGATCAGTCTTTGCGGCATGGTACTCCATTTCATCCTGATCCTTGAGCAATTTGCCGCAAACATCGCATTTAAATGACTTCGCTTCAGGTTCTGGCTCCGCACTGGCTGCGGTTTGAGATGAAGAGGAAGATTCCGCGGCTGGGGCGGCCGGCGCCGCTTCCATACTCGAGGAAGTGCCAATAGTCGCACCAGAGTCCATTGCAGGGTCATCAGCATGAGCCAGAAGCCATTCCATGGCCGGCTCTACACCCTTATAGTTCGTTACCGCTAGGGCTTTCTCCCTGGAAGCAAATAAATCATCGCACATTATAGGTTACCGAATGCACTCAGTATTTGAATGCAATGAAAAAATATAAGTTGGTACTCACGCCCGATCTTTCGAAAATCCCATTTCGATAAGTGTCTGTATTTCAGCCATTTCTAAGTAATTTATTAAAACTATTAAACTATTTGACTAATATACCAGTTCACCATCAAAATACGAATTCATCATTCACCCATCTGTCAACAGCTGACTTTTCATGCTACAGATTGTAATTCTCTACGTTTCGATTTACACACAGATTGTGTTTAATTTGTGTGTTTTCAAAATCAGAAAAATCAAAAAATTCAAAATCGTCATATTTTTAAATTGTCAAATAAAATAGTACAAGAAAATATTAGAAAACAATTAAAAAATAACCTATTTTTTATATTTGCAAACACTTATTATATTGGTTTTCACCAAAAAGGCAATTTATTTGAAGAATACGTTGCTTGTCAAAAGTGGCTACAAGATTTAATTTTATGGTGATTTGGTCAACTTTGCTTTTGTGGATTGGATTTTAAATCTCCAATAATATTTTTATCACTTGCTGTTATCGTCGAAAAGCGAAAAAATGGATTTATCGTCCTACAAAAAACCTAAACGAAAAAGCATTCAACACAGCGATCCTGGAAAAATTCTGGATTTAATAATGAGTTTGACTGATGAAACATGTAATGAAATACAGATTAAAATCAATACATATGTACGTAGTTAATTTAAACCTCGTAAATAATAATTGTTTTCTTCCCAACACATTTTGTTGCGTCGGTACGTATTAACAGTTAAAATTTAAAAATCAAACCACAGACTGAAAAAAAATATCTGCTTGCTGTATCCAAAATAGCTTCATACATAGGTACATTATTCTACAACCGGTTGTCTATTTGCTATACCTACCAAACGTGCCACCAAAAAGACGCATAATTTTTACAAATTGGAAAAGAACTCAATCCCAGATATCAGGATATTTATAAAATTGGACATACATACCTAGAGACGGCTAAAGTCTAGAATAACACAAAGGCTACATACATCCGATGATCGCGGCTAAAACCACTGGCAAAAAGCTTTTTTTTTATAAGCATAACTGTTATGTTTCCATGTCATTTTTTACAGTTAGAAGAAGAATGCGACGCGGACTTGGTAGTGCCAGTGATCGTACATCGCGAACGTAAGGAAGCTTACATAGAAGTTGTGGGAACAACAGCTTTGCCACGAGAAAGGAAAATACACGTATGTTATACCAACCTTTTAGAATTGCATTGTCTTCTAGATTTAGTTCACAGGTAGAGCACTGCATTAAAAGATATTACAGAATATTTTCGCATTTTGGAAAATGTAGGTATTGCCATATCTAAGTACTTAACAATAAAATCCATAACAAGACTTTGTTTTGTGTTTGGTAACCCTACCTACATTGTTTCATTACAGAATAAGAAATTAATCTTATCATACTCTACAATATCTACATCAATATTAATATTAAAATTAACTCGAGTTTCATTTCAACAGCTAACTCAAAAGCTAACAGATGCGTTAAAATCGAAAACTGAACAAACAGATCTTTTGACAAACTTTGGTGAAGACTTCCAAAGTATAGTTAGTCCTGTAAGTACTTACCTATAAATAAAAAATCGTTTAAAAATACACACCACATAATTTCATCAGCCTATAAGTCATTATAAGTGTCCACCCCTCAGCAAAGGCCAATTCTGACATGGATTAATTTTCATTGCACCCGTAAGCCCAGCACAGGGTTGCGGGTCAAGCGCAGTAAGGTTCCGCGTCTGGCAAGAGTCTGACACTCCCTCAACCTGGGCGAGAGAAGAGCTTCTATATTTTCCCCTCACAAAAAAGCAGTCACGCGCTTTCTACTGTAAATGTGAGAAGAAATGCCGAACAGACCACGGATTCCATAGTCTGCTTAAGCTTTTATTAATTACTTGTTACCTTCAACTATTATTTTCTACAACATTGCAGCATTTACCAAAAGATAACGCAAAGAAGCGTCTTGTTCTGTTTTCCGTCACCGACTGCCCATTTTCCGTGATCTTCTGTGTAGTTTCACCTAAGGCAGAAGAAAGCAGTGTTCCGATCACAATATACGAATGTGGGGTGTATGTATATTGTACTTACTTATATAATATTACTTACTTATTTATTAGTCGTTATTTTTAATAAATCTTTGTAGGTAGGTACATACTTAATTATTTTAGTTACCTCAAATCAATCAAGTAGACCACAACAGACAAATTTGAACGTCAAGCAAAAAAGATATCATAAGGTTTAACTTTATATGTGTCAGTCTGTCCGTCTGTCCTCTAGTAAAGCTATTTGCTCGTTCCATAGTGTAGATTCCTATGGAGAAGAACGAGCAAGAAACTCCATGGTTACTCTTTTTCAATCACTTTTTACAATGCATTATTACATAATTTAGGTAGTTCCATTATGTGAGAACAGTGTAACACTAGTGTTTAACCAAAGGATCCGAAAAAGAAATGAACATCAAGGACAGCCACTTTAGACAGTCTCGAGTTGACCAGTCCCAATAGGCGGCGTCCGTTCACGAACATGACACGTTACGACCTGGCTACGTACTTAAAACAGCAGATAGTTTGTGTTCTTAATTATTTTTTATCTGTGTCCATAGATACGTTTGGCCAACGTTGAAGAAGGCGATTGCATTGGAGTACGAAAAAGCTTTAAAAATAAAATGCCAGCAGCTGTTGCGTGTCGCCAAGAGGCTGTTTGCTCAAGTGAAGTGTTTTTTTTTAAGTCATTCCTAAGATCTCAGTAACACAATTATCATTGATCTAATTTGATTAATATTAGTATGGCGATTTATAGATTCCTCTTAGTTGCTCTCGAAAACTGTCCGAATTTTCTCCATAGGTAAGTCTCAAACCATTCTGGGGCTCATATCTATTACTTTAATTTTTGACCGGGGTGACACTGCCTCACAGGGAACCGGCGTGAAACAATTACAGCGATGTGTTTCGCCGTGAGTGAGGTTACCGGAGGACCAATCATTCCCCTCCCAAAATGCCCTAAACCCTTAATCCCTAAAAGTTCGACACCGTACTCGTAACTATTCCGTTGTTGCGGGTGTCCATGGGCGGTGCTGCTTCCTTACCATCAGGTAAGGTAAAGTCTGCTCGTTTGCCGTCCTATTACATAACTAGCTCTTACCCGCGGCGTCGCTCCCGTCATTTGCCTACCTACCCTACTCTACCTACCCTACTCTACCTACCCTACTCTACCTACCCTACTCTACCTACCCTACTCTACCTACCCTACCCTACTCTACCTACCATACTCTACCTACCCTACTCTACCTACCCTACTCTACCTACCCTACTCTACCTACCCTACTCTATCCTATCCTATGTCCTTTTCCCAGTCCTTAGCTACCTCCCTACGATTTTTCAGCCAAATCGGTTCAACCGTTCTTGAGTTATAAGTGGAGTAACTAATACGACTTTCTTTTTTATATAGATAATTAAATTAAATTAAATCAAATAAAACCCCCGACACAAAAAACATAGGCTACCTAAAAAGTATATAACGTAATACAAAAAAAAAAAAACTTAATTGAAATCGTTTCATCCGTTCAGGAGCTATGATGTTACAGACACACAGACAGACACGTCAAACTTATAACACCCCTCTTTTTGCGTCGGGGGTTAAAAAAGGACTATATTCCTCTATATAGCATCAAGGCATACTATTGAATTGGCTTACGTCTTAAAGTGGGATGATGATGATAATGGGTACCTATCCTTTTATTTCAGGTAGCATCACTAGAGACTTTGATGCAAATTGCAATGGATCAGGCAAAACAGTTGACGAAGGCGGAACATTGCACCGTCATGTTGATCGATATCGATAACATGGAGCTATACGAATCCTGCTCAACCTGCAAGGTTTTTGTCACAATTACACCTAAAAATATACCTAACTGATTTTCCACCCGCCTTCAAAAATATTGACAGCCTTACCAAATTCCGTCTCTTAGTTTTTGAGTTTGTTACGTTCATGCATACAGACGTGTCTTTGGGTTAATAAACAACCTTACCTGCCTACTACCTATTAGCTTAATAATCATCTTTATAGGTATGTTCTGTATCTAGTTTCGGATACACGTTAACCTTAATTCTGTCTTAAGTAGGTTCAGCATTTTGTGGGAGAGCTATGCCCCAACAAAATTCCCTAAACCTCAATACCCTGACAATCCACTTATGTCATGTAACGTTCGAGACCTACAACAATCTACACAATAAAAAACTTAACCAATTCGAGTTCTGCGTACGGCGTTCTGAGTAACGGTAGCTCGTCGCCCGACCAGAATCAGACCCGAGCTTACGGCGTGTTGCCTTCCGCTCCTCAAAGAGCCATAAGACCATTACAGACGGAGCCCCATAGGGCTGGTGTTCAGTCAGGGGGCAAGTACATTAAGGCGCCTTGGTCTCGGCCTAGAGCAGGAAAGGAACGGGGAGTTTTTAGTCAGTAAGAGTCTGACATTCCCTCCCAGGGAGAAGAATATAAGAAAGTCATTTGATGATTTTTGAATTGGACTGGAGTTGGCAGTAACCCAAGCTTAATATTCTTCAATCATTTTAGGATTCCAGAGGCAGGCGATGCCCTCTAGGCATGGGGATCGCAGGCGAGGTGATCAAGACTGGGTTGTTGATCAACTCACGGGTTCCAAAGGAAAATCCTGCTTACAATCCCGCCATTGATGGACTACCAAATAAGGAGTGCAGGTAATTCACTAGAATAAAGATGGATGAAAGCCATCCAGAATGCCTTGTTTCTCTAAGTTAGACTGATTTTTATATGGAAGAGTGTTTTCAAAGCCATGTTGTTTTGTGTTTTTCGTTTATTTTTCAAAAGTTTTCTCCATGGGCGGCTCCGATCACTTGTCATCAGGTGATCCGTTTGCTCGTTTGCCTTCTTTTGCCTCCTATTCTATAAAAAAAGCAGTTGGAAAGTGGTTGAGTCTTTTCATACATTGTCCTTATTTCAGAAGTCTCCTATGCTTTCCAATACGAGAACAGTCAGGAATCATCGGTGTGGTCCAACTGATAAACAAGACATCGGACCCTTACTTCGACAGCATGGATGAGGAGATGGTACTGGCGTTCAGCATCTATTGCGGAGTTTGCATCATGCACTCCGTGGTCTACCAGAAGATTGAGGAAGCCCACATCAGGAACGCTCTCGCCAACGAACTCGTAATGTACCACATGAAGGTTGGTGGTCTTTCGCTTTCCTTGTAAGGCGAGAGTACATTACTCGATATTTAGTCACTAGCTACGCTCACGCGGGTTCACCCGCTGCTCGGCTCGATTTGATCGTACCATGATGTTTTATAGCCTATAGCACTCAGGGACATAGTAGCTATCTTTCAGTGAAAGAATTTTGGCAAACGGACCAGCGATTCCAAAGATTACCCCTACATACAAACTTACAAATTTTACCTCTTTATAATATTAGTATAGATGAGGTCGTGGAGGCCTGGAGGTGGAGGTTAAGGCTCCCGCTTCCTTCTCATGCATTATGGTCCGGTTCGAAACCTTGTTGTTTTTATATATACATTTAAGTTTTTTTCACTTATCATCATAAAAAACGGTAATGGAAAACATCGTAAAGAATCAGAAGAAAAAAAAAGATATACTTAATAAGTTTGAAATGAAATTAGGTACCAACGCATTGAGCAAGCGTGCTGATTGATGCTCCAACTTATCTGTGCAAAAACAAGCCTTTGCTCAGCAATGGGAATTTAAAGGCTGATGCTGATGATATTTCCTTTTTTTTAAAGTGGCCTCTATCTTTTGTGGTACTCGGAAACGCTGGTAACCTATAGCTTACACGAAACAATGTAGAAATTAGATGTTATGCAATTCCTCCTTACACTCTTCAAAATGTAAAAGACCAAAAAGTTTGTAAAATTGCGCTTATGTTAGATGCTTTGAAGCAACAAGCTCCACAAGTGCATCGTCGTTGATGAGCTTTTTGTTTGCATAAAAATGCAGTCAATATTCATACATCATGTTCTTGGAAAACCGCAAATATAAGTTTGTTTTCTGTTATTTACTAAAATGTACTATTTTTATAATTTTCACTTTACTTGTAGATAAAAACCTATCTCGGTGCCAAATTTGAAAATTCAAAGTTTGCTAGAAGTACCTTAGAATTTTGATGATCAGTGAGTCAGTGAGTGAAAAAATTTTGTAACTTTGATGGCTTATAACTTGTTAACTATTGGATCTAATGTCATATTATTTTGAGGATGAGCTTGTTTTAATACCTAGAGTAGGTATAGGTAGGTAGCCATTGAAGACCTAAATCCCTAGCTTTGCCCGTATTGATGAAACAAGGGTGGTGAAATAGCCGCGAAACGCTGCGAGAAAAGTGTGGTAACGGTCGTGCCCGTTTTGCTTGAGACTTGGCTGCACGGCCGTGCCCCCAGATGCTATCTAGGGACAGAGGAGAGACCCCTTTGTTTTATACTATGTAGTGATGTTATATAAGTAGAGTATTCACTGAACCACTGTCAGAATATAGGTACCACTGTCATGATTAATGTTAGGTAACAGATGCCGAAGTGAGCCGTATGATGACCTGCAATGGATTCCACCAGCACCCTCACATAAGCAATCTCCATTTCAACCCTCGGGCTCTACCGCTGCGAGAACTGCCCTGCTATGCCGTGAAGATGTTCACAGACCTTGGACTCCATGTAAGGTGCGTGTTTTATACTTTATTTTCTCCTTGTTCCAATTTTGAAAATACCTTAGTAAAATTAAATTCTTCCGTCTTGTAAACTTAAAAGGAAGAAATTTTTATTGGTGTTATATACCTACATATCCGTTATTTAGTTCTTACTTTTTAATAATGAAATTAAGTTATACTTATTACCTACTAGGTACTACTTATGTTTTTTGATAAGATCGTAAAAAGTCCATGTCTTTAGATCCTTTTTGCCCTGTATTGGCCGGATTCTCTCTTTGAGTGATTGCTATGAAGCAGACAGTAAAGTTCCCTAACATCGAATACTGCCCAAAAGTTAACGTTGGGATTGTCCATTCATGTTTAATCAAGCACAAACTTCACATGCGCAATAGGATTTGTCATGACATCTGACGATCTTTTATGTATCTCGAAACATTTTTACATAAATATATACATATATTGGCGGCAGCAACTCCTTTTCAAACATAAAATATTTTTAACCGCCATCCCTAGCTTGCCAGGTAGGCAAGAGAAAATCCACTTTGTATAGGAGGATTCTCACACAGCAGTTGCATCTGAAAACTGATTTTTAATCATAATCTGTATTTCCAGGTTCAACATCAAACCACAAAAGTTGTCCCGATTTATTCTTTACGTGAAAAAGGGTTACCGTGACGTGCCATATCACAACTGGACTCATTCGTTCAACGTGGGCCAGTGGGCGTACTCTGCACTCGTGAACTATAAACTCACCAGCCGGGGATACTTAACGTAAGTATTGTTTTTTTTTTTATGTGATAGGTCGGCAAACTAGCTGTCGGATTACCTGATGGTAAGCAATCAGCGCCGCCCATGGACACCCGCAACGGATTAGTTACGAGTGCTTTGCCGAGCTTTTAGGGATTAGGGATTTGGAGATTTAGGGACTGGGGAGGGATTGGGGAAGGGGAAGGATTGGGCCTCCGGTAACCTCACTCACACGGCGAAACACAACGCTGTGGTTGTTTCACGCCGGTTTTCTGTGAAGCCGTTTTATCGCTCCGGTCGAGCCGACCTATTCGTGCCGAAGCATGGCTCTCCTACACTTGTTATACCTATACTTGTCATACCTAATACTTCTTATACCTACAACCGATTGATTTCATTACTATTGATATTTGATAAAAAATGTAATACTTAGTACCTATTTTTTTATCCGGCCCCAATATCATTACATTTCTCAATATAATCCACTACTTTTCTAAAATATTGTTACATAGGTACCTTATCCTAAAAATAATATTTTAAGTGTGGGAGAGCCATGCTTTGCAGCGAATGGGCCGGCTGGACCGAATTTATTATATACCATAGCCTCACAGTAAACCGGCGTGGAACAACCACAACGTTGTGTTTCACCCTATGAGAGTTTACCGGAGACCCAATTCTTCCTCTCCACTAATCCTTAATTTCCCAAAACCCTCTATCCCCAAAAGCGTTCATGAGCGGCGCTGATTGCTTACCGTAAGGTAATCCGTCTAGTATTTTACAGAAAAAAAACTCGCATCTAAGAACTCGTGCTCAACGCTTTCAATCATATTGTTTATGTGCAGTGACCTTCAAGCCTTGATGTATATGATAGCAGCCTTCGTGCATGATATAGACCATCGCGGAACTACCAACAGCTTCCAGATTCATGGAGGTGAGGCAATGTGCAATTAAATATTTTACGAAAGTAAACAAAATATTCTTTAAGAAATAGGCAGCTATCAAAAACGGGAATATGTTGGGCTTTTTAGGTGAGAAAGCTATTAATTCACTTCTTTCATTCCCCTGAGTGAGGAGGGAGTGAGTGTCAAGCTCTTACTGACCAAAAACCACCCTGTGACTTCTCCAATTCAGGGTCAGGGCTGCCGTAGATACATTATTGGCGCTTGCACTCGCAGTCCCGGCTGACCATTGATCCTATGGAGTCCCACCTATGTTGGAAGCTTATATTTTATAGGAATTATTAGGGCTACACTAATTTACCAATTTAACTTTCGTCTTCTTCAATCGTCCACACAGAGACCACGTTAGCAGCTCTATACTCAAGCGAGGGTAGCGTCATGGAGCGGCATCACTTGGCACAGGCTATGTGCATCCTCAACACTGAGGGATGCGACATCCTGGCGGCCCTGCCACGGAGGGACTATGACAGAGCCATCATGATGCTTCGAGACAACATCTTGGCTACCGATCTGGCTAATTACTTCAAGTAACTTACTCGTCATCATTACATCACCATCATCAGACTATAACTCTTACTGAAGTCCTCGACGTGTTCATATCTTCCACGCCTCTCAAAGTATGGTACTACGTTCTTGGTGAGCCATGGCGTGCTAAAAGAATAAGTACGGAGCGACTAATTTTTTTTTTGAATAGTGTGCTGACTGATTGCCTGATGGTAAGCAATAAGCGCCGCCCATGGGCACCCGCAACACGAAAGGAGTTACGAGTGCGCTGCCGGCCTTTTCGGAAAAACGGTTTCGGATATTTAAGGATTGGGAAGATATGGGGGGAGAGGGAGGGATTGGGCTTCCGGTAACCTCACTCACACGGCGAAACACAACGCTGTGGTTGTATCATGCCTGTTTTATGAGGCCGTGGTATCACTCCGTTCGAGCCGACCCATTCTGTCGAAGCTTGGGTCTCCCACATTTGGTGCTAATCTGTCCACTTTATTCTAATGCCTCAAGTTAATCTGATGATTAACTACACGGCTGGTGCAGTGGCTGGGCAAATGGCTGATTCGAACTCTGTGTGTGATTCACTAATTCTTGTTCCTGGTCTGGGTATTATGTGTATGTTTGTAAACGCACTCACGACACAGGAGACAATCGTAATGTAGGGCGACGTTTTTAAAGAATTACTTAATATATTGAAACATGTCGAGGATACGGTTTGGCAAAGGCTTAACAGAGGGAGACATGAGGGTCTTATGTTGATACGTACTTTGAAAATTACCTACAGGAACTACGACGACTATAGAGTGGTATCGATGGACTATCAGAAACCCAATCGGTTACATTGCTCTGCTCTACAATGTCTGTTGATGAATGCAGCGGACCTCAGCGACCAGCTCAAAGACTGGGGTTGCGTGAAGAAAACAGCTGTTAGTTACACCTTTTTTACCGTTTACTGTCTGGTCAACCGATTTTAACTTCTTAGTACTCCGTTGGCATTACAAAATAAACTGTTTGGCAGCCACCATTTGTCACTCCACCAACGTATAAGTCAAAATCGGCTAAACGGACTGTTGTAAAGGTTTTCTTAAATATGTAATCGGATTTTTGGAGTATTTGGCAGAGCTGTTAGCGGATGATCTTCTTCAAAACTTACAATAAATTCCTAATTATGGTACCTGTGCTACATATTCCTTGAATTTGTAGCAGTATATATTCATGTATTCACCGTTTAGGGGAGGGGGAGGAAAATCATCGAATGACTTCTCCTACCCTGGGGACGAGAGAGTGTCAGACTCTTACTAACTAAAAACCACCCCGTTCCTTCTCCTGATCCAGGCCGTCGCCGTGGTGCGTTATTGTACCTAACCCGCAACCCTGGCTTTTCGAGAACAATCCAAGGGATTCAAAAGTCGCGGGTCTGCGGACGTGTAAGAGTAGTTCGCCGCACGAATAGATTCAGACCCGAGCGTACGGCGCGTTGCGTTTCACGCGCGCCTCAAAGAGCCAATAAATACGGTGCTCGGCTTATGTTCATCTGGGGTTGCGGGGTAAGCGCCTTGAGCTACCTCTTGGCTCTGAGCAGGAGAAGGAACGGGAGGTTTTTAGTCAGTAAGAGTCTGACAATCCCTTCCGCCCCACCCTGGGCGGGAGAAGTCATTTGATGACTTTCCCCTGACAAAAAAGGGGATTAAAAACAGAGATTATTTTGTTATTGTACTTAGCAATGGTTACTTTTATAACCATATCATTAAGTGTATCAATAGCTACTGCATCACTTAACAGAAGACGCCTTGAATTTGGAAAACTTTATAGCCTTAAACGTTATCATTTTTAACATAGGCGGCAGTTTTAACGGAGTTCTTCAAGCAAGGCGACTTGGAGAAGGTAAGAGGAGACCTGCCAGGCATCGGTATGGATCGAGAGCAGTGCTTTATACCAGATCTGGAGATACAGTTCCTGCAGAACATTTGCCTGCCGCTATACGAGTGAGATTCTTGATTTAAAACCATTTATTCTCTGGACCGCCATAGTCGGCTATAGACGGCAAACTAAAAATAGGCTATTTAGCCAATGTCGAGCATAGCCGTCTAGAAAACGTCCTAATTAAGTAGGTATATTTCGTCTATCGACTATAGCCGACCATGGCTGCCTAAGAGTTTACCTACTTTTATTCTGACAACAATTATTTGAAAAGTGGTAATTTAAACATTGGAGAGTACCTAATATGAGAAATTACGTTTTTATCCTCCGAAGGTGAAGAAATAAAAATAATCCTTTATTTAATCAGACAAGAGGTCCATACTATTTATAAAATAGAAATAAATAACACAATTGTATTGGAATAGATGTAGGATTAATGCTTTGGTAAGCAGACTCAGTCCGAGGTACTGAATACTACATTCCTCAAAAAAAGGGTCAGTTATGCCTATCAGGGTCAGAGTCTGGTTCTGGAAGCGAGGTACCCTTGCTCGTTGTCCGCTTACCCGCGATTCCAGTGACCGATGATTGACACGCGATCTTCGACACCCAGAGTATCTCCTAGACTCAATGACGTATTATATATAGACACGTCATGAACCAACATCGCGGCGCTTAAAAACGGCGAAAATACTAGATAACTATTTCTACGAGTAAAGAAAGGGAAAGAAAATATGACATCGTATAGTGGAATGCCTTTGCTAGAGGGAGATTATACATCTTCAGTTACATCGGCACGTGACTATACCTTCATGCGCCGGCCGCCATAAGATTGCGGGCGCCGGCGTCGAAAAAATAAAATAAAAATAGGTTGTTTGGTGAACTTACGCATGAAATGACACATTTTTGTCTTTAACTTTTGGAGTATAATTTGTACATCGTCTGAACACACACGACGGCATGCTTTCTTTATGTTTCGCACAGGTTTACACACACGATATAAATTAAAAACAAACGTAGCGTCGCGCGGCAGGTTGGTGCGTAACTAAGCGCGATTTTGTCAATTGCCTTCATTTCATGTTGTCATTTTAGTGCGCGGACAACGTATCTATAGTTTTATACATCATTGCCTAGACTAGTATATCAACAAGTTACTTTTACAGTATGGTCGGCAAGATAATACCGAAGGCGGCGCCTTGTACAAAAATCATTGAGAATCACATTGAACGGTGGGAAGCATCGAAATCTGTATTCTTAGAGGTAAGTAGGTACTTACCTACACTATTAAAAAAAAATATTTTAATATAACCTCTGACCTACCTTTTTCTCCATAGTATAAAACAAAGCGGCTTTCTCTGTCACTCTATGTGTGCTTAAATCTTTAAAACCACGCAACGGATTTTGATGCAATTTTTTATAGATTGGTACAGTGATTGAAGGGTTTATTTGTAAAGCACCATCCATTAAATAGTGGAGAAACAGCATTGCACCCGTGTGAAGACGGTACAAGTCGCTAGTATAGGGTAATTGGGATAAATTCAGTAGTGTCGACTGTCGATCAACAAAAACATCAGTTAAGTAGGTACAGTCCCGTTATTTGATTATAGGTCGATCCAGTACTGAGACAGTTGCCAGTCATTATTTATCTACTTACCTACCAGTCGTTGCAAAGGATATAAATTAATTTAAAGCCATGTAATTAAGTATAACTACGTCTACTATCTATGCAAGAGTCAATATTTTAGTGCAAACTGTACTTACATGAAAGCCATACAAGAGATTCAACAATATTTAGAATAAAAAAAAATTCTTTTAGTCAAATTCAATTCTTTGACGTCATAAGGTTTTCACGTTTCTTATTTCTGAAATATTTGCTAGAAATACTTCATTAAAATTAATTATTTTGAAAAGTTAAAATATTTTTTACCTCAGAAACTACCCTAATAACGTTTATATGTTTGAACGCCATCTTTAATTTATTTTTTCTCAATATTGTTGTATTTTTAACGTTGGTCAGTCAATCATTTTGTTTTAATTAACAGGTGCCACTCACAGCTGGTCTATCGGTTCTGCTGAGCCCAGAACTGGACACTCTTATAGACCTGAATCTCAAAGAGGCTGCTAAACCCGAACTCGCGGAAGGTGAAAACAACGCCCAAGACCCTAATACTAAAACCACTTAAAAAAATTGTATTTAATTAAAGCTGGCAACTCTTCTGGCATTAATTGCTGTCCATCGGGTGTTCCGACTAATCGCTTGCCACTATATTCTATAAAAAAATGGGAGAAAGTTCGTTTCAGGAGAGGCGCCAGTTAAGCTTAAGGTCTATTTTCCAATAGAATATTTGCTTATATTTCAAGCAGCACTCACTATATTGATTTGAATAATAAGAAGAATAATTTGAATAATAAGACTTTAACACCCGGTTTCTGAAAGGCTTGTCAACGCTAAAATTAACTAATCTCCTGTTAAATCTCTTGTCAAGTCATCTGATTGGTTGCTGACAATTCAGTCAACCAATCAGATGACTTGACAAGAGATTAAATTGATTTTAACATTGATCGGCCTTTCGAAAACCGTGTGTAAGCCTCACTAGCGCCAACTTGTTATTGCAAACTAAATTCATTCGGTTACCGATTTTAAATGTGTTCTAAGCATTCTTCTTTACAAAACAACATTCTAATAACGACTCTGTGTAGCTCCAAATACAAAACTTTTCTTTATAAGCGCAGTTTAATGTTGGTTTTAATCATTTGTAGATGTCATTTTGTAGATGACGCCACTAGCGAATTAGGATTCTTTGTCGATTTAAAAGTTGATATACGGCAACAACCAAACATTTATTAATTACTTAATTGTTTAACGTTTTTGTTGCGAAATCAACTGAAAGACCGAATTTTGTAACCATTTTACTGACTCTGTGTTTCGAGGTAGATGCTTAAATACTATTTGGTTTTTATGGTTATTGATATATTTTTTCTTTGTGCGTACTTCTCACATCAGCTAAATGCTATTGGTGCGATTGGTTGCGAAATACTTGATGGAGATACAATAGTATACTAGAAAAAGACTGATCACCATATTATTAATATTAATACTTTTGCACTTGATTTTTAATCGATAAGTAGTTATAATCATGTTGTTTTATTATTTAGAAAAACTGTTGTTTTATTTATGGGAACAAAATGTCAACAAACTGTTGAAATTTATTCTGAACCAATTTTATTTGAAAATAAAAATCTTATTATTGTATCTATAGTTTTATTTTAGACATTCATGAAATGCATTAATTAATTTTATCTTTGTACATGAACAAAAATCTTCAGTCCTGAAAAAATAATTTTGAACAACCCGTATCATTTAGGGGCATGAAAAACAGCCAGTACCCAGCTCTCGGACCTACTGAATATGCATATAAAATTTAGTTAAAATCAATACAGCCGTTTCGAAGGAGTTAATATATAAGATATAATAAGGTTATATAATAAGACATAGGAAAAATTCCAAAGTACCTACTGCCTGTTTTCGTTTTGCAGATTAGAAAGCCCTGCAATTTCACCGCAGTCTGGTGTATTCCTAAATTCAAAATAGGTTTAGAGGTATTTAAAAAACAATCACAGTTCGGAATGATTTTAATTTCTTTGGCAATAAATGTTCATTTCTTAAATTCCTTTCGCTACAAAGTGTTTATTTTGATAAATCTATAAAAAATACTATAAAATGCATTTATATTTCTGTACCTTCATAAATTAATTAATTAATTATTGAAAATAATTTACTATTTTAATAGAGATATACATTGATATAAAAAAAAATTAATTATATAGGTAACCTTGATTAAATCAACGGTAACTTAAAAAAAAACATATCGAAAAAGTAAGTAGATATATAAAAAAATCACTCGATTGTAAAATCGATAAGTTTGAATCGGAAATCGATTTAGTTAAAATTTCAGATTGTAATTAATAGGTCTATTGTTTTATTTGCTCACTAGTTAGCGTTATTAGACATATTTGTCCAATCACTGTCGATATCTAAAATTCAATGTCCAATGAAATGCCAAATCATTAGCTGATTTTCTATTGGTCAAACGGATCTTGCGATTCGCGCCATCTGTTGAGCAAATATCACAGTAGCCGGTAACATACTAACAAAATGTGATTATGTAATTTCTATAATAGCTTCCTTTAGGTTTAACCTAACAAACCGTTTTCTTTAGGCTGCAGTAATTCTTCTACAAACTCCTTGACCATAACTTTCAACTTCTCGTTCATTGATTCTTGTTCACTGTGAAGAAAATAAATTGAAATGAAATTGAATGACTTATTCAAATATTAATAATATACAAAATTATAATAACAATTATTTATATCATCCAAATTTCAATTCAGACAAGGTTCCAACGACCCTTTATATACTAATATTGTTAGTATCCAAAAACTAGAGTATCTCAGGAATTTGTTATTATTATTTTTAGAAATAGGTAAGCTATAATAGTTTTTATTTTACTTTTGACGTACATTACGAGATCAGCTTAGTGAAATATTACTCAATGTTCAAAAACAAGAGGATATAATATGTTCTTTATATTTATAAAATAAATGTTTCCTCTATTTACCTCCTGGTTGGTGCTTGACACACCAGTTCGGAGTAGTACTTGAGCTTGGGTTCAGTGCCACTAGTTCGGAAGGTGACGCTTAGCCCGTTACTGCAGCGGAACATTATCATCTCGCCTGACGTGTAATCTTGGTCCAAACCCGTGCCGAGTACATCTGCAAAGAAAGAATTAAATTAAATAAAACGGCAAACGAGCAGACAGATCACCTGATGGTAAGCAATCGGCACCATCAATGGACATCCGCAACATCGAGGAGTTACAGGTTCGTTTCGACCATTCGAAGGCTGTTATTAGTATTGGGCCCGATCCTTCTCCCCCATCCTCAATCGTTAAACCCCTATCTTTAAATACCTAACAACCCACAAGCGATTGTGTGTGTGTGTGTGTATAACGAGTGTCCATGGGCGGCGCTGATTGCTTCCAGCAGGTAATCCGTCTGATAGTTTTCCGACCTATGACATTTAAAAAAATAGAGGATTTGGGAATAAGCAACTGAGGATTGGGCCGCCGGTTACCTCACAAACACTGCAAAGTTCAATGCAAACGTTAGTTAAATATTTAACGCCAGCTTTATGAGTAGCCGTGATATCATTTCAGTCGAGCTGGCCCATTCTTGCCAAAATATGGTTTTCCCTACACTTTGTATACATACAATATCTTATTAGAATTAGATTTTTATTGTAAGCTGGTTTAGATTTTTCAGAGATAGAGAAACAAAGATCTATAATAAATACTCACTCAGATGGCCTTCGCCATTGACCTTCTCAGGTATCTTGACTCCGGCCACGAAGTCGTTCAAGAACACAATCTCACAATCACCGACTTTCTTGGGGTACTAGAAATGATAGCAACGCCTTGAGTTAGTATACATTATCAATTAATGTGAACTAATGCAATGTTAACACAATTAATTCATCTTAAGGTTTGACTTATAATTGTGTCCATGCACGTCGAGCAAGAGTAGCTTTGCCGCCCGACCAGAACTAGACCTGAGTTCATGGTTTCAAAGGTATTTACATGCTTAAAAGGGGACGCCACCAACTGTACAATTTTGTCTTTGGTGTAATAACGAAATAAACATTTGTAACACAACTATTTGTAATATTATGTAAAACCTATTTTAATAGTGAACTTCATCGTTTACATTGTATAACTCCAAACTTTTTATAATATTATGTAAAACCTATTTTAATAGTGAACTTCATCGTTTACATTGTATAACTCCAAACTTTTTATAATATTATGTAAAACCTATTTTAATAGTGAACTTCATCGTTTACATTGTATAACTCCTCAATTCAACACTAGATGCCGTTGTGCGTATGACGTCATATTTTACATGGCGGTGTTAAGATTCTCCGCGACTTAATGACCCCCGCCAGTACATTTGTGTTTTTGCTAAAGGCTACTATCAAGGTGCACTCTCGGGCTACGTCCTACTTGGAATAGTCACTTGAGACTCCTCTGCATAGCAAGTCGCGGAATTATACTTTTATAACAAAAATTGTATAATTTTTTGGGTTAGAGGACTGCATCCGCCTCCTTCGTCCAAGCGGAAAGGGTTGTGTGGGACTGCGCCTATTTTATTTTACCAAAATGTATACGTTGACAACATTGACCTGGCTTTCCTTCAAGAACGCGTGACGACACCGGAACTATAATCCTTTACAAATTTTTATTTTTTATTTTTGTTTTGTATGAGTCCACCGATCAATTAAAATAAAAGTAGTACCATCTATGACTAACGACTGCTTTTTTTGTGAGGGATTAATCATCAAATGACTTCCCCCGTCTTATGTGAGGCGAAAGACAGTGTCAGACTCTAACTGACTAAATACCACCTCGTTCCTTCTCCTGCTACACATGGCACTGGACTCGCAATCCTGGTTTAATAACAGCCCTGTTGGGCCACATCTGTGATATACTACTACCTACTGCTTGAGACTGCAGTTTGGCCTAAATAAAATATATAAATATACAACCAAATCAAATGAGATCTCAATACAGAATGAAGTGAAAAAATTCAAAGTATCACCTGTCCAGGTCCGCTATAATTTCTGATTCTTCTAAATATTTTCTGTATGGTGGCTGGTTCGTGGCAGATGTAGTATTTGTTGTATGTCACGTGGTACCCGAACTCTGCATATAGCGCGTCAAGCTGCTTTACTATCGACGATCCGGATAGGTAGAGATGCGAAGCTAGAGACGCCACCTGGGGAGGTAAAAGGAAATACATAGTACATACCTACGCCTTAAATCGGAGGCAAACAAGTAGAGAAATCAGTAATGATAAGTGAGATCAGCGCCGCCCACGTTTGAGCATTAATCACCACGCTTGCTCAAGACGGATTGGCGATTTGAAACTTATAATTAGAAATTATAAGTCCAGGTTTCCTCACGATGTTTTCTTTCACCGTGTATCAGTGGTGTCTAAATAGTCATAGAAAGTACATATAACTCAGAAACAGTCATATTGGTATTGTTACTAACCAGCAGGCTTACTCTGCAAATTAATATCAATTCGAATCTAAAACCAATCCGATTGCTACATAAGGCGCCGCAATAGTGTTGTTCAACACATTACGATGAATCGGTAATACTGCTTTAAAATGCTGTATCTATTAAATAACAACGCTAATAAATAAATATGATATAAATAATTGTTTTATTTATTATTTTTAGCATTCCTAATGCAATTCTGTATAAGAAAATTATTAAAGTCATAAATTTAACCATGACTGGCTGTATGTCGTTGCCTATTCTACTCGTATTAAAAAAAAAGTCGTACAAGAGCGTCAATTTTAAAATTGGAATCAAGTAGGTTAATAAATAAACTTAAACTTGTATAGTTGTGCCCACAGGAATACAAGTGTATTTTATATTTTGATATATTTATTTTAATAACTCTACATTTTTAAATATTACTAAAAAAACTAATAAAATGATATTTAAAAATATAAAAATAGGAGCCAGCCGGTAGCGGGAGCAAGGTCCAAGCCACCGGTGGTTAGGGCTCCAGAGACAGAAATCCCCTCATAATACGTGCCGTTTCAAGGAGGACTGCCTTCTGTATGAGGTTCTCGTCATGAGGAATGGCAACATTGATTATCATCGTACGACAAAAAGTTCAAGTGTATTTATTATTATTGTTCAAGTGATAAGTTAATACAGTTGGTAAGTAAATAAACAATCATATACTAATACATATATTATTTTTGTATAAAAAATAATATATGTATTACTACAATGGATTAATTATTCATAAGAATTTTTTATAGTTATATTATTGTTTTTTTTTTTAGTTAAAATGACAAATCGCCCCAGTTACGCTCAACTAGAAGGTCTAGTTGAGTTTCTAGAGCAAAACCCAGGCATCGCTAAAGGTTTACTCCGGACTACTCAGGCGAAACTGGAGACCAAAAGAAAATGGGCAACATTGGCGACCTCTTTGAATTCTCTTGGAGGCGCTAATAAAGATGGTCAAGGCTGGGCTAAGGTATTTTCGTTTTATGAAGAAATAATAAATATATAAATAATTCACCAATTTCAATAGGTAACACAAATTTATATTTTCAGTATTGGGCTGAGAAAAAATGTGCATTAAAGAAACAGTGTGCACAACTGTCATCTTCAATGAGGCTCACTGGTGGTGGAACAGCATCCAATTTGCCCACATTGTCTGCCTTGGACCAAAGATTGGTGGCGGTGATGGGTGGGCATGAATTTGGGAACCGTGATTCACGGTTAGCAGTTGATCCATTCCCTGAATTGGTAATGTAATATTGTGCAATTTAATTATATGTATATTTTATGAATTATACAATATCTATCTAACAAATAATAACTTTGTTTTAGACAATACCCACATCCCCAATCATTGAAATGCCAGTGATTGAAACGCCAGTGACAGAAGATACATCTCCTGTCCCTGGCACCTCACATAATGACACACCACAACCGATATGCTTAAGTAAGTCTTTATTATTATTTGTTTAGCAATGCTTAGCATAAATTTAAACAACCTATCATTCACCTCACAATCCAACAAGCGTGTAACATTTGTGTGTTGTGGGACTAGTAAGGCTATGGCAAAAAAAGGAGCTACTTCAGTTTTTTTTACTGAACTTTACCAAGTTCTGTTACAAAATAACTTTTGCAATAACCAATCTCCGTATTATTAGTCCTGTAACAAGAATATTGCTACATTATTGTATTTATTAAATTTCAGTTCCACCAGCAACACCGACACCCACTCCAGTTCACAGCCACCATACCACCACAGTTACCATACCACAACCCCGCCGGCGTCGCTCTTTAATTCCAAGGGCTCAAAATGCAGACATGGAGCAGTTTGCAAGAATTGAAGAGCGACGAGTTGAAGCTGAAATTAAAACAGCAGAAGCACTGGCTAAAATAGCCGAACACATGGGCACTATAGGTTGTGCATTATTAGAAATGAGTAGAAAGATGCCAGAGCCATAGTAATAAGTGTAATCTTAAGGTGTTTTGTTGTTTTTACTTGATTGTTGATTTTTGTGTTAATAAAAGTATTTTTAAGCTACAAAAAACTTTTTATTCAAATCAAATAAAACAAAATGAGACTGAAAATTATAAAATACAACAATTTGCTTTCAATTATAGAAGAGAAAAATTAAACTAATATGTTTTAATTACTCATAAAACTATATATATTATCTTAAAAAGTAAAAATACAGAAAAAATTGAAAGTACAATTTATAATAAAATTGAAACTTTATGTTTCAATTCAACTCTTCTGTCCTACCTTCTACTCGCCCATAACTGCTGAACTAAAACAGCTCTCTTTGCTATGCCTTGTCTTAGCTCAGCAGCTGATGTGCTATTAACTTCTTGAGAATTTGCATCAGGGTTTTCATTCCCATCATTTGCTATATTCTCATCAAAACCTATCCTATTTATACACATGTTGTGTAAGACACAACATGCATTAATTATTTTAGCTGCTACATCGGGATGGTAATGTAGCACCCTATGCCCCAGTAAGCACCGCCATCTGTTCTTAAGAACACCAATAGTACGTTCCACCGTGTTTCGTGCAGAGCAATGCAGCTTCGTGTAATACTCTTCTGGGGAGCCCGCAGGAGCATCTACTATAGGTGTCATCATATACTCTCTCTGAGCATATCCGGAGTCACCTAAAATGAATATTTCATGTAAATATATATTTACAATCAGCAAAATAAAGATTTTCTTTATGACTATTTTCATAGTAATACTTGCCTAATAAATATACATTTTCTCCATTATTGTTCAGATTAATTAAATGTTGTTTAATAGGATGTTGATTCCAAACAAAACTGTCATGTGATGCTCCTCCGAATGATGCATCTACTGACAGAATTTTTAAATCTGCATCACAAATCTGAAAATAAATAAAACAGAGATAAAACTAATTTGCAAGAAAGTAAACCACAATTCAATATAAATTATGAAAACTCTCTTACAATCATAACATTTCTAGAGTGGAAATGTTTGCGATTAAAATATCTCTCCTCATTTTCTGTTGGCCTAATTATAGCCACATGGGTGCCATCTATACATCCTAATACAGATGGAATGTGATATATTTCATAAAACCTGAAACCAAGCATACTATATCATGTAGATACTAGGCATATTAATAGAAACATATGTAGATCGGCTGAATTAATTGTTATTTGCATTACCTTCTTTTAACAGAATCTCTTTCTTGGCGCGTTTGAGGAAACTTTATCCATTTACTTAATACTACTTGATGGTTAAGAGCTGCCGTAACATCTCTAATTGCTCTCGAAACAGATTGCTGCGACATCAGGGTCCCATATGTGCCTCCAACTATTCTCTGGTAACTACCAGTCGCATAAAAAGACAATGCCACTAAAATCTGTAAGTTAAATAACATAAATATTAAGTCGATTTGCCTAACAAAGGAGTAATTTTTATAAGTCAGGTATATAAAGACAACATACCTTGTACTTGGGCTGTATATCACTTCTCCTCTTTGGAGTTGGTATAAAGGCCTTTATATTTTGGTAAATTTCCTCATACAAATCCTTGCTCACTCGGTAATTTGCCTTAAATTCGTTTTCAGGCATAGAAAACGCTTTGTCGGTATATCGCATCATTCGACGTTCATCGCGTCTTTGTTTTAATTCTCTTTTACGCGATTTAAGTAAAATATTGTTCATTAATACTAATCTAGCCATGTTATAAGCTTATTATTTAATTAAAAATACTTTTAACACAAAACAATTCCTAAAAAGTTACACTTTCGTTATTGAAAAATTCACAATCCACAAACAATACTAACACAATAATGCCGCAATACTCAACCAGGGGCTTCAAACTTAGAATAAAAAACTGGGGACAGTAATGGATACAATGATACAAAATGACGAAGTCTGACGTAGCCACTGACCTCTATAATAACGCTGGACTGGCTATTGGTACCAACTTTTTGTGCCTATTTGAAAATCGCCATTTTGGCGCTGACGGCAGAAGTGAGGGGGAATGGAACTAATACTAGTGTTGACAACAAATGGTTTGATATCGATAAAAACTTTACTGATATCGACAACAATTACAAAAATATTACTGACGATATTTTTAATATTAAATTGGTTTAGGTAAATTTTATTTAAACACCTAAGTGTAATAATAAACAATACGTACAATCAGGGGTCAAAAATGCAATTACACTCTACCAATTTTAAAATGACAAATGTTTTGTAGTAAAAGTTCAATGGTTCACAGCTAGTTTATTTGATAGCATAGAATCTAAATTATTGAATAAACTGGCTGTACATAGGACATATAGGTACATAAGATATTTTTTTTTAAATATGGTTTGTAACATAAAATACGTTCAGACTTAAATAACTATCACACAACACCATCTAGTCCCAAGTTAAGCAGAGCTTGTGTTATGTATCAGACAGCTGAGTGGGAATCGAACCCATGATCTGCGGCATAGCAGACAGAGCCACTTACTACGAGACAAACAAACTTATCTGTAATAGTAGTATCTACTAGTTTCTGGACTGTAATAAATAGGTATCACGTGTCCGGTTGACCCGTTCTTTCATTTCATTGTTCTTCTTGATTGGATAAAAGTTCACTATTGAATTAATAAATAATAAAATTACCCTTCATAGAATGTATTATACACTCTATGGTAAGGGATTAATTTGCTTGCGCATGGCGACGTGGGATATCTAACGAGTAAGATATCCCATGTCGCCATGCGGTACAAGACACAATAATTACTATTAGATCTGTAATTACGGTAATAAACTTCTATCAGCTTAACTACTGCAAGGGAAGGGACAGGGAAATTAAAAAAGCATATTTAAATCACATATTTTATTATTTAAAAAATATCGTCGAGCCCATTTTATCTGCTGGGTCAAAAAATGTCTTACTTTCTCTCCAGTTACTAATAAAAAGTATTTTTTTGTTTCTGCGTACAAATGGATGTCAATATATTTGGTTATTATTTCTTTTAAAAGAACATGATTATGAAAATTGTCTGAGACATAACAGACTGTCTCTCAAGTGATCTTTTAGGAAACAGTTCATTGGTTTTCGTTAAAAGGTTGCTTATTGACTTTCATATCGATCGAATTATAAAGCCTCATTAATATTAGAATCAGGTATTGAAACTTTCGACTGAGAAACCTGGATTGGCCTCAATGGAACTATACCATGAGCGTATCACACGAGGATGAGGCAAAGCCAAATTAAACCTATTACGCACATATGCATATGCCTTTGGCGAATAAAAATGTAAAGAAATGGCAAATTATCTTAATTCTGGAGATTACTTTAAACGTTTTACATTTTTGGTTATTCTTTTAAAAAGTTGTGGTTTGAAATCATCATACTGATTTAACATATAAACACAATCATCACATCCCAGTTTCTTTTGGTTTAAATCAGCAATTACAGATTTTAAAGTAGACACAGTAATTTTCATACGTTTAATATTTTGTGACAATACTTTAATTCGAGCTTGTGACATTTTCAAGGTATTTAGACCCTTTCCAATTTATTTTTTGAAGATTTTGGGGTGTTCTCGTAGCTGTGATCTAATTTGACACTAGATATGATTTCCGCTAAAGTTCTAGATTCTGTTGGTGTGCTACAGTATCTTGTGTTGTAACTTGTGCTTGGAACTGTAATAAGAAATTATATTTCATTATTTATATTATTCAAAGAAAGATAATAATTAGATAGTAAAAATATGTTTCAAAATATTGGGAAAGGTATGTCATCATCATCATTTGAACGGAAAGATGTTCACTGTTGGACATAGGCATAAAAATCCCTAAGTGTACATAATTTTCACCTCTTAAAAATTGTTTAGTATTTACCCACTGTTAGTTGCAAACTTAGTACTTCAGCAAGCCATGCTCAGTTTTTATAAAAATTTTCTAAAATAACTTACCTGCAAGGGCTTCACATGGCAACATTTACTTTTCATGGACTTCATCATTTAGTAACCCAACTTGTACAGGTACCTGATGGTGAATTAAATTCATCCAAGCTCATTTCAATATCTTTCTCACATTGGTTTTCTGTTGTTTGATCAGCTTTTAGACATCTCAGTTTGTAATAAGGTTGAATTGGTTTCTGTAAAAATGTGTTATTTTATTACTAATATATATAAAATTAGGTTTGGTAGATCACTCAATAAAATTATTAATCATAAATGTTAAATTATTCGTTATTGACTCTGATAATTATAAACCTTGCAGTGTTTTGCTATTATTAGAGATCATTATATTGTGCATATTATTATTCTACAATGAAGGTAAATATTTTTATTCAATTAAATTCTTATTTAGGCCTTTGTGGAAAACACCACAATTTTGCCAATAATACTTATGAATTGTTAAAAAACCATCAAGAGCTGTGTCGTATTTGACGCAAATTAATATTAAAAATATAAAATATTTTAATTATGAATAAAATAAAACATAGCATTACTGGTTTTATTACTCCAGACGAAAGTATCGATATATGAACTTTACCATCCCTATCAAAAGTTATTGGTTATAAAAATGTTCGTAAAATCCCATAAACTCGAACTGTTTACGTTTATTATTGAAAGAATACACTGCTTTAAGCGTTTCCTACTAAGTATTTATATTTTAGATTCACTTACTTGTGAAAAGTGACGCCACTGCTCTTTTCGTATCGTGTTTTACAATATACGCACGATTTCATGTTGGTCCAATAATATAAGCTATGATACAATAACTGTCACTATTATAACACTTAATTTATGTCACAATCGCAGTAAATACTATTGGCGGAAGAGTGACGTCTTGGCTGTCATCGGAGGGGATGTTGGTGGGAGAAGCTACGGTTGCCTATAAAAGGGCCTGCGCGCTCAGTGGAGTCCTCTTTCTGCGTTGAGTACACATGGTACAAGGGAACCTCTGCTCGTTTGAAGGGTTAAA